GTCAGATTCACAGTCGCGAGTGCCATTGCCAGATTCGCTAGCGTCCGAATCTTCAGTTTCATTGTCTTCTTCAACTTGCATTGCATCAGTTTCATCGTTAAGAGTGATGGAAGGGGTGGGAACGTTGAAAAGAGGCTGGGTGGTTGGCTTGGTGTGGCCGGGATCAAGACCGATCAAGGCTAGACCGTGCTTAACAAGCAGGGCTAGCTTGTGAGCATAGCAGCGAATCTGCATACGTCCTGCTGGCCAGTCGACACTCGGGGTAGCCTCTTGAAACATCCGCTGTAATTCATAAGCAAGGGTGCGGTTGTTTGATCCCGAATCGGTAGTTTGGGCTAACATGTAGATAAACAAAGCCAATCAGGTTTAAGTTTGAAGATGATAATGGAAAAAGATAAAAAAAACTTATCTTATCATGTAGACCATGCTTGATGAGGAATCGGGCCACTGGTTGTGCAAGTAGGACACCGGCGTGGTTCCACGCGGCCAGCTTTAGACTACGATGGAATTTCTGGAACTCCCACTTATCGTCAATGAATGTTACATTCATTCCGATAAAGGCATACCGGCTCCGACGGGTGGTCCAGCCATCGTGAATCAGGCAGAACTTGCTTGAATTGTTCTAGATGATGACCAAGAGATAAAGAAAAGAAAAGGAGGGAAAAGAACAAAAAGAATCATAAAGTCAAAAGATAGAAACATAGGCAAAAGTTTGATCAAGAAGAAGATTTACCTTGATAGTTTCCAGAACCGTCTGTTGCAATCCCGAGTAAAGACGCTTGGCAGCGTTTGCTGCCCATACTGCCGATCGAAGGGCTGCCGACACGTTTGCCAATCGGAAAGCTGCTCGTAAAGAGCAGTCTTGGAATCGAGCCCATGGTAATGCTTGACAAATCACCCAGATGACACACATCAAGTTGAGAAGATCGACACTAAACTTGTCCTTAGAAATAAAATGATCAAGAGTTCCTGATTTGTTTGCCTGCACCAATCTCTGCAGCTCCTCCCACGACGGTGGAAGATCCAAACCGGCCGCTATGGCATCCGACCGCCTGGGGCAAGCGGGTCGACCTTTGCTTCCATCCCAATGCCCGTACAGGTTGTAGTAGCTAGTCAAACCCTTGAGGAATCGACCACGGCACCACCGACACCTATAAAGCCGTGGATCACCAGACGTCTGAAGAACATATATTAGTATCTAAACTCAAAACAAAAACAAAAACAAAAACAAAAACAGACTAACCTGGCCATTAGGATAGATTGGAGGGTGAAAGTACTTGAGTAGTTCTTGAACCCGAGCCAGGTGTGAAGCCCTGATACCAGTCCTGGGTCTCCTCGGAATGATCTCGTCTCCAGAATCTTGATCAATATCTACGCAGTCAGGAACTGTCTCGTCCTATAAATGGAAAATTATAATATTTATCAATTAATCATTGAAAGCGATTGTTGAGAACAAAGGAAAGTAAAAGATTAAACAGCTTACTTTTTTTCTCTTCTTTGTCACCTTTTTTTCGGTCTGACACTTTCGTTTTCCGGTTGAAGGCGATTGAAGGTCCAATAGATCGTCCTCATCTTCAGGGACAGCAAGAAAGAGCTGATCAATCGGGCCAAACAGAGAGCTGGAATGTGAGGGACCGGGAGTCGGAGATGCCACCTGAAGAGATTGTCGAGCGTCGGGCAAAGCAAAGACGAAGCCAGGAGATGGTCTAACTGGTGTCCTTGGCCGGAGTGATCGCCCTGAAGGCAACTGGGTTGGGGCAGTAGACGGCAGAGCCAGATTGATCCGAGAGTTTGATCGAATCAGTCGATCTGGTTTGCTCTGAGAGGTTGATGGGACCATGACGACACAGTAGCAGTGTAATCGGAAAAATTTGAGATGCAGTTGTATGGTTCAGTTGAAGATAATTAGGATGGAAAAGAGATAGATAGAATTTAATTGGATGGGAAAATGTGGTCCAACGATGAAACTGGAATCGGTGGCAAGAGGAGAAAGGTCAGTGAATTGATCAAACAGCTTTTATACTCGTCGATTGGTACTTACATGTAATCCTACAAGTGACACCAAGTGACACTCAGACCCAATCTTGTCATTGCTACTCTTGATAACTTTCGCCCAAATGGTGGAGAATTGAAGGTAAAAACGGTGAGGGTGGGGTGGTGGAATGAGGTGATTGAAGACTTGTTGAAGGGTGGATCGGGTGTAAGTTGAAAAATAAGGGTACTCGAGGGGTAAATGGTCTGGGGCGGAGGGCATGGACATATACAGGTTCGGGCGTGGAGGGCATGTGTAGTATATGTAGTATATTACAGGTCATAGCGCTCGCTATGTGTACCGCTATGCATGTGGACATGTTACATACAAGCTCGAGCGTTGCACATGACCCACTACAGGAAATTTTGGTTTCCAGATAGGGCTGTGCGATGTCCACTATGAAAAGACCCCCTATTTTTAGCGGAAGTCCCGCAGCGCTTTCGCAGCGCTTCCGCTATATGATGCGGTGTGATTTCGACGTTGGTCTACATCAACAGCAAACCAAGCAAATGGTGTAAAATTATTCCAGACGGTCAATAGGTGATCTCTCAAACAATCTCTTTAAAGCTTGCTTTTTATTAGCACACTTTTGCTGAGATTTGTATTGTGTAACAATCAGGTAGAATTTTGAGGACTCAGACCTACCCAGACTTTGATTCAATGGATGTGTATTGATATGAAATTGGCTTCGATTGAGCATCTGCCAAGAGGTGAGCAGTATGATGAACAACCGATATGAGTTATGCTATTTCTATCAAGGGTGAGTTGATAGTGTTAGGTGACAATTGGGTGTTGTGAACTTAATCAGCAAATAGGTTTACTCAGTGATTTCAATGAGATGGTAAGGGATTGGATTGAGTTTATTCAACCAAAGATTGATTCTATGACAGAAATTGTAGTGAAGAAAGTTGCTAATCATCAGTTTAAAATTTTTCTTGATCCATTGAAATATGTATTGAGATGAATTTGATTGTTTCTAAATGACTGGATATCTGTTTTGAAATTTCTTGTGATAGAAAACTTTTCTATCTCCTTGGACAGAATCAATATGTTACACAATCATATTGAAGCTGCATTATATCAAAGGTAGTCAGTTGAAATGAGTGATTGGTTTTGATTTGAATGGGCCTAAGTTGTTCATAGATACAATTTTGTAGGATTTGGTGCTCTGACTTAGTTTAAGTTTTTGAGAGAATATTAAAAAACAAAGCTAGCTATTCAATTGGAATGAACTTCATTGTTTTGATAGACGGAACCACCATAACACAGGTGGTTCCCATGTCCATGACAGGCTTGCGTGCCCTGTAAAAGGTGAGCCTTGAAAGACGCACGGGTAGAGTTTTACCACTTTTGGAAAACTGAGTTTACCACCCGTGCAAATTCTTTCCTCTCCAACACCGTTTCACCAGCGTCAGCAAGCCTTCACACCACATCACCACCCGACCAAAGGTGGTTCAGTAGTCTTTTCTCAAGCTATGGACAACGCAATGAAGGAAGCAGCCAACGCGCAGCTCAGCTGACAATAACCAGATCACAATCAGTGGCTCTGGGACAACCTCCAGGCCTCCCATTGGAGCCAACACGGAGGAGATCTAATCGCACCGGAAACCAAGACAACATAGACGGGGAACCTATACTCGACGGCAAAATCAAAGGCCTAATTGATGACACCGCCAAAATCCTGTAAGGATCCCTATAGCCTCAGAGCCAGACAATGAGGTGTCCTGGGCCCCCCCAGAGAAGGGGGAAAGCAAAGCCGTTGACAATACAAGCCCTACCCCTTCACGGGCAAGCTCACCAGCGAGTAGAATTTTCACAGGTAAGATTTTGAGTTCATAACATTCCCTGATAATTTCTCTGTTATCACAAGTCCAGACACCGCCAAGAAATTCACGTCGGAATGCCCCTTCCGATGTCACATCGTGGACGGTGTTCCAAAGCAGGGTCGGGGCCAAATTGGGCGATAGAATTGTTGTGCGATGTGTAATCACATCTTCACTGTCCGATGGGATCCGCAGTCCGATTGAGGATCGCTTTGGCACAACCGATGAAACTGAGCGCCGATCCCAAACCGCATTGGTGGCCGCCGACTGAACCTCAGTCTGATCAGGTCCGATGGCTACTCGTATAGCGCTCATCCGACTAAAACAAATGTGTGATACAATCATCGCATCGCATCCCCTCTGAGCAACTAAATGTCGGGCCTTTTGTCCCGATTCAATCATTTTTTCGATTTCATGTCGGTGTTTGAATCGCGATTCAATCCCCTGAATGCCCGATTCAATCTCGCTGGCGAGGCAACTTCGGTTGCATCTTAGCGACGCATTCCAAAAGCAGCCGATGCAATCGGCGTAGGACCGATTTGGTCTCAAATCGACACAAAAATTGCAGAAAAATTTTCTGTCTTGCGAGCTCTTCGAACTTCGAATCTGAGCTCTTCGAGCTCTTCGAACTTCGAATCTTAAGCTCGAGTGTCAGAGGTCTGGGCTTCGAGCCTCAAGAGACCTTGACATATAAAGCTTCGAAGTTCGAACTTGACTTTGAAGTTCGAACTTGCCCTTGAAGACTCAGCACGTAGCCACTCTTGCGATTAAGTGCTTCCATGTAGTCAGGGTGATGCGGAGAGGCTGAGATCCAATACTCTCCTTTGATGTTCAGCATGTATGCATCCTCAGAATAGTGTGTTCTTCTGAGGATGAATAGTCCAGATGCGCATTTCAATCCATATAAGATAGGGTTCAACTCACGCGATCATCTTCATATTCAACAGTTTCTCGCTTCATCTCACTTTGACACCATTTATCAATTCATTAAGGCCAATCACCCAAGAAAGCAAAGTCTTGAAAGATGAAAACGTTAGCTCTGATACCTTGCCACTGTTCCGACTGTGAAAAAAACACCTACCAACATCCCCAGACCAATGCTAAAGTATACGGAACGCTCTGGAGACCTGCAAATCACAAAAAACATGTCAAGAGCTTTGGGACACGCGCGACATGCACGGCACAAAAACTCTCTTTATCCTCGGATATTTCAGGTAGGTAGACGTTCTCTCTTGTTAAATTGTTAATATTCCTTGAGAGTCTGAGAGCAAGCGGTTGATAGATACACGATCACCATCACAAGATGCCCAAAAGGCCTCAATGGAAAGTTTGCCTCTTGCTTCTTCGAACTTAGAAACAACAGCTTTCAATCGTAAAGCCACAGAAAGCCACTTCCAACCATCATGGGATGGGCCAATCATAGATTCAAGTGTGTTTCATCATCTTTTATTCAATAGAGTTCTATCTTTATGTGAATTTCGTTGAATTTTTGAATTTTTGACAAGCAGGCATATACAGTACAACACACTACGACAAGTTTCGACGTTGGAAGCCTTCTGACCTGGCTTACTTCCTTATGATCACATGTTTACACCTTATCAAAAATATCAGTGTGGAGGCTGCCACGCTTTGCTTGCATGTCATAGGTGCAGTCTCCACCTTCAACACCGATGAAAAGTCTTCGCAGGCCACTTTACCAAAGGCTATGAGTACATTTCTTGATGGACTACGGATTGAGCCAAAGATTCGCAGAACAGTGTGCTGCCCCAAATGCTTCAGTATGTACTATGGTGATAAGATTCCTACATTTTGCACGTCTCAAGTTACTCCCAGGAGCCGTGTATGTTCAGAGCAGCTTTTACACGAAGCAGGTATTCATGATGGGACAACCCCAAAAGCATGCCGGCTCTTTTCGACTGTATCCTTTACTGATTGGTTAGCTCGTTTTTTGAATCGACCTGGGATCGAGGATTTGCTGGAATGGAGAGACGACTATTTCGAAACGCAAGGTCCGATCATGAAGGATGTCCGGGACGCTTCAATGTGGCACTCGCTTCGTGGGGAAGATGGACAGCGGTTTACCTCCTCTCCCGGAAATCTGGTGTTTGCTTTGAATGTTGATTGGTTCAATGCAAATGGAAACAAGGCTGCGTCGAAACAAATATCTCTTGGAACTATTGCTTTAGTTTGTTTGAATCTGCCACCAGAGATTCGTTCATCTCAAGAGAACATATTTCTGGTAGGGCTGACCCCTGGTCCTTCCGAACCGGACGTAGAGCAAATGAACCATGTTCTGGCACCCTTAGTCCAAGAACTCAAGGTCCTATGGAAGGGTGTCAAGTTTTCTTCTACCGCCAAGTATCCTACACATGGTAGAGTAATCCGTGCTATGCTAGGTCCCATTATCTGTGATCTTCCCGCAATACGAAAGGTTTTGGGGATGGCAGGCCATTCATCAAATCGACATGTTTGCTCACTTTGTCTACTCGGAACAGACGACATACATCTATTACGAATTCCTAAAGAAAGAAGACGATGCACACATACACTTCGCGAACAGGCTTTGGCCTGGAGAGATGCAAAAACGATAACACGCCGGAAGGAAATCTTTGCTGAATACGGCGTGCGGTACTCCGTCCTATGGGAACTTCCGTATTTTGATCCTCTTAGCCACACAATTGTAGAACCGATGCACAACATCTTTCTTGGTATCATCAAGAACCATGGCACGAGGGCTTTTGGAATGAAGTCCGACCCACAATCTGCCGAGGATCCAAGGAACGGGGGTGCTAGCGATGATGAAGACTCGGAGACGGAGACTGTAGCATCAGACGTGTATATGAAGGATTGTTCTGTTGACGCAGCTTCAGAAAACCCAGACACGGAATTAGGATCATCACCTCCCCCTCCAACTCCAGAGTATCTATCAGCAGAGAGCAATGACAAATTGTTGTTTGCATTTGAAGAAATGAACTTAGAAAGCGATACTTGCTCTATGACATCACCCGAGGATTATCAAGCAAAGCAAGAGCAGACAGAAAGCTTTTTAGAAGATGACGCATTTGATGAAGACCTCTCTGACTTGGAAGATGCTTATGAAGATGAACTCGGTTGGAGATTTTTTGATGATTCTCAGAACCTAGCTACATTGCAAGATATCACAAGAAATATAAACCTTCCTTCCTGGGTTGGACGCGTGCCTAGCACTGTAGGGACACGCAAGGGCGGGAAATTGAAGGCAGATGAATGGGTGATTCTCTTCCAGGTCATGATGATACCTGCGATAATTTCTGTCTTGCACAAAGATCAGGGTGCTACAGACTTCACGGAACACAACTTCGTCCGCAATGCGCTCCATCTTATAAGTGTATTGAACATTGTTCGGAGGTTGGAACTGAATGAGCGCGACATTGGATCCCTCCGATACCATCTGCGAAGCTATCGAAATGGGTATTCCAAACTTTATAGTTCACTTCCCGTCCTGCCTAATCATCACATGGCGCTTCATCTTCCTGAATGTATCCAACGGTTTGGGCCCGCGCCTTTCTGGAGTGCATGGTTGTTTGAGAGACTTAATGGTAAATTGGCTAAAATACCGAATAATAATCATCCTAGTAAGTTCATAATATCGACTAAATAAGAGATTGTGTCTGAACTGACAAAAGCACGTCAGATTCCCGCGAATTGACAAGACTCAGGAAGTTTACCTTAGAGCAGAACCTGCGGCCAGTTGTCAAAATCTTATGTGAATCTCTTCCAGGAGAAATTGCTACGAGGATGTTGAAGTTCTTGGAGCCCAGTGGTACACCACGAGGCAGTACCTCCGGATACGAAGCTCGAACAGGCATCCCTGTACATGCGGATCCTGTCTATCACTACGACGAAAAAAAAGCCGAAACCCTGGACTACGACACCCACGAGAACCTGGCACGCCGTATGAAAGAGTTGGGATGCGGGGATGTTGTTGTGGCTAGCCGTATTTTCAGAACACCGCTTCCTCCGCCCCATCACATATTACTAGGACGGATGGTGAATCAAAAAAAAATGGTAAAGCATGAAGACATATCCTACTCAACTTGGGAGCATCACCAGGGGAATAGCATTGTTATGTATCAGTCTAAAGATGTGCGCCGTCCAATGGCATATCGGTGGGGCCGAATCAATGAGATATTTATCACTAATCCTGGGTCGCAAGGCAATCCAAAGGCGCAGCTATGGTTCGAAGTTCTCCGATTCTCCGATTTGAGAGCTTCTGAGAAAGCCAAGCATGGTCTTGATAATTGGCCAAATGCGAGAATGACTGTTGTGTACACCTCCTCCAAAAAAAAGGATCTGGTACGGGTAGATGAGCTTGTTGCCCAAGGGGCAGCTTGGGATACCCCAGAAGGATGCTTCGGAATTAAGCAGCCAACCACACTGATTATAAATTTGAGCAAGTTTAATTGCGAGCAAACTTCCTGATTTTCATAATCTATGGGCCACTTGATAGACTTTTGTTTCTGATCTTTTGTTAGTTGAAATGAATTTTATTGTCTTTACGAGACATCCGAAAGTGATACTTGATTCCAACCAATGAAGAACTACGTAAAGTTTTAAAGCCTCACGTCTTGCTAGGTAAGACACCCTGTTCCTACTTGCAACACCTCATGAGTGCTTTGTATCAAACGCTCCAATGCTTGACTCTCATAGACACCACAGATTCGAAGTACAATCATTCTACTTTGAAATTGCCTAGTAGACGCTACAATTTTGAAGTAGCATGATCTTACTTCGAACTGACATATTAGACATGTAAGTTCGAATGTTTGAAATAGAATGATGCTACTTCGAACGTACATATTAGACACCACAGGATGTAAGGTTCTGGGTAGGATCATCCTTCCTACTTTGAACTTCAGGGATTTTAAGATATCAAGTACAGATAATACGAATCGAGATGTCTCGAGCTAGAGCATCAAGTGAAACAAACCTTGAAACCAAACGTGGGGGCGGAAGGCACAATCGGGCGAAGAGATGAGCAAAACACCGAATCTGAAGAGACTCGTGCAATAGACAAACTATTGACAGGGAGATGATCTCGAGCCTTGTTGATAAATGTTTTCAACAGTCCATAGTGACCGGATCAAGCTGAATTGAGACAGATCAGGCAATGGAGCAGGTTCTGGACTGTGTCAGTCTTGCCAATCTCAACTTCGCAAGCAGCCTTCACTCCATCAATAGCGGCCTTCAATATGGTACGTAAAGTAGACAAAATCGTCGAATCTACCGTAATCGACTTAGACTCCATACCAGAGTGCGAAGCCTTCAACTCCAGATGATACTCCGAGTAAAATTCGCCTCATCCATGGTAAAAAGTGGATCGAGAGTATTCCGAGAGCTTCGAGAAGAAGTCATAATCTCACGGGGATGACACATTAGCCTAGGTTATAGGAGTATAATATTATGCAAAAGGTGAAGGGTAAAGAACGACTTCAAACCATGCAAGCAGCAAACATCCGGACATGGCCGGGAAAACCAGGAAAATGCGAGTCCAATGACATCGATTGGGTGACCGCGCCTGTGCCTCCAATATACAGGAAAGTTGCAAGCAGCGATGAGATGAGAAAATATTAAAATTAAAAAGAAACCCTGATGAGAAAGGCGACAAGACATAAAAAATTATAAGGGCTTGTTAGTCAAAATGTGTTTTATCATCTTCACAAGTCATCTAAGGTATACTCGATTTGTTTGTACATACAACCGAAAATGATGAAGCTATAACTACGTAAAAGTTCAAAGGCTGCTGTATTGATTGGTCAGAAACCCTGCCCCAACTTGCGACAATCATAAGTGCCTTGTATCGAACACTCAGATGCTCAATCATCGTGGACATCGTATATTCGAAGTAGGATGAGGATCCGGTTTCGACGGGAAGTCATCGTAAATTACGGACAAGACAATGCTAGCCAAAGGGTACTGGCGTATCCAGCAGGTGAAGAATGAAACTCACCTTCAAACCGGAAACACAGTAAACATAACATACCTTCATACAGTGTGGACTCTCGCGTGTCACGCGTTTTTGCTTGACATGATCACAGGGAGGACCACTCGTTAATGAGGATCCTTCATACAATGACGTTTCTTGTGAAAAGAGGGAGGTCTTCACGGAGTAGAGGATGAGGCCGACCCACAGAGTAGAGGATGAGCCCGATGGAAGATGTCATTTTACTCAGGATATCAAGGTTTTGGCACAAGAGCGAACATGCGTTTAATCGAACTTGGCATATTACGCGCCTTTGTGAGATTATGTCAGCTGAACTACTGGTCAATAATGCGTAGAGCGTGAGCCTGGTCCATTGGTTTACGCTTGACGTTTTACGACGAACTTTGCGAAGTGCGTAGCGTGGCCCTTGTTATTAATCCCTCTGTACTATAACAAAGGTTTGTCATGTGTGTTCCATGTTCAAACTTTTGGTCTCGAACCAATTACGCGTTTGCGAACTCTGACATGTGTAGCTTGACGTAGAGATCAAAAAACCTTGAAGGGTGCGCTGAGCGTGAATACGCACTGTGAATACGCACTGAGTCACCTGAAAGCTTATGGTCTACTGCATATTTTGGATTACTCAGGGAGGATGCGCAGAGTCGACTTCGGAATTTCGTAGAATACATATTTGATTTAAGATGAGCAAGGTTCAAAATGCTTATGTGTTAAAGCTTAGCTTTTGACACCTTTGCCACACGTATAAAGCCGAGTCTTCGTCGTCTTTGTTCCCAATTCCTCAATCCAATCCAAACTTCATAGTCCCCTCTCTCGATTTTCTTTCCAAGATTCCCCATCGAAATCAAAGAGTACTTCCTCACATCTTTTTCGTTCCCAAATCCCTTGTTCGAACTTCGAACTTCAACATTCATCGTACTTTTTTCGTTTCGTTCCTAAATCCCTAGTCCGACTCCCTCACTTTTCACTTAGATGGAAGATTCAAAATCCCTTACTCCAGATGAGGAATCTCACATCCCGGGTACTATTATAGAAATCAAATCTAAATCCCCTCGATCGGTTCGTTGCGAGACCGAGCCGGACGAGGCTTTGATCGGGAAACACAAGTACTCGAAGGTGTACGAGTTTGCCAATCCTTGTTCAAGATGCGCCAATACTGGTCGTACCTGTGTGACTAGTGGCACAAAATCCGTCAAGTGCGAGTGGTGCAGGGTTTCGAAGATACCTTGTGATGTCAATGGAGTGGAAACTGTCCAATTCCACTGGCTGCGAAATGGAGCCCTCTTTCCTGATTCGAGATTCGACACCAAGACTAAAGCATCGAGCACTGATCTCCCTGACGAAATCTCCCTGTTGGATCCGGAAGACGAAGCTAGGGTTGATGATTGGTCAACAAGGACACAAGGTAGGTGATGCTTGCTCCATTGCATCTGCTTGGAGATGCGTGTTCGAACTGACAACTGTTTCTTCATAGATGTCAATCCTCTCGATCCTAGTCCACTGCAAAATTTCGGTGTGGAGATACCTTTGGCTAGGAAATCGGGGTCAAGGATCATCCAGGATGACATAAGGGCCGACCAATATCTTGAACGTGTAATGGGATGGCGACGAAGCTCTGAGGCACCACCCTTCCGCCCCTTGGGCTTCAACACGATGCCTGTTGAGGAGAGCCTGGACCCATCGAACAAGAGACCTAACCAGGATTCCGCTAGATCTGACGAAGGAGAGGATCGACCCACACGAAAAATCAGAGTCAAGCTTCGAAACCCCCCAAGGGTGGAGGACGACGAGCCCTCATCCCCTATTGCTCATTCGATGCCTCGAAGTTCCCATCCACAGCCCTCTCAACTCTCCTCGGCTCCGGCTCGATCCCTCCCTCCACCTTTGATCGGACGTGCTATTTCACCAGTTGCTGCGCCCCCTCTTTCGAACCTCGCAAGTCGCCGCGCTTCACATGCTACTCCTACACCCTCGAACCTAGGGTCGAATAAAAATGCTTCTTCTCAGCCTCCGCACTCCCGTCAAAGCCCTGTAATTCTTGAAAGTTCTCCACCCCCTGCTTCGCCAAACACTCCAAAAAATCCTTTATCTCAACTTTCTTCAACATTGGAAAGCGAGAGACGAACCAACGAACAACTCCAATATCCAGGTGATGATCAGAGAAGAAGCGATGGACAAGTCAATCCAGATGAAGCTGTGAGATCCACTGGAAAACATGGACAAGCCGCAAATGATCATACGAGATTGAACAAGGCAGTAGGAGCTTCTGGAAATGAATTAGAGCGCCAATTTTCTCTTGCACCCGAATTTTTACACGGCGGAAACCAGCAGCCCGAAAATGCTCAGAAAGATCGGGGCGATGAGATGGATTCAGATGATAGCTCTGTAGACTGGGGTGTAGTCGAGCCCAACAATTTTGATGGTAACATGGTGGCGGAGCAGATGAAGAAGGGAGCAAAAGATATGGAGAAATTCATGGCCAGCAAAATGTTGGAAATTGCTGCTTTGATACCAGCCGGTCATAACTTTAATAATTTCATTGCTATGCGTAAATCGATACAAGATAAGTGGAAAGGATATAAGGAAACAGTAAATGAGGCTGTCAAGCCTTTACAAAAATTATAAATTAATGTTTTTCTTTCTATTTACTTGCTTTGACAAAAAATATCGCTTACAAAAATAATAAATTCTATTTTTCTTTCTATTTACTTGCTTCGACGAAAAATATTGCTTACAATACAAATTGTATTTTTCTTTCTATTTATGTACTTGCTTTGACAAAAAATATTGCTTTCAAAAATAATAAATTCTATCTTTCTTTCTATTTACTTGCTTTGACGAAAAATGTTGCTTACAAAAATCAAAAATTGTATTTTTCCTTCTATTTACTTGCTTCGACAAAAAACTTTGGCGGTCCGTATATTTCTATCTTTGTTCCTTTCGAAGTCTCGAAATCAAGTTCCTGGATGTAATGTGTCCAAAGGATACAATTTTATACCCTTGAGCGATGACACGGATTGGTGCAGATCTGCCCAAATGAATGACAGGAGAGCATTCCATCCATGGAATGATGGATGTAAGATATATAAGTTTGATGTTGAATTTAGACTTGTATGTACAGTTTGCGCTTCTTTGAGAATTCGAACTAACATCAACATCAAGTTCGAGTTCGATGAGCTTTGAGCTTCAAGCTTCAAGCTTCGATTTCAAATGCTTCACTGCCTCATCGCACCGGGGGATATTTAAGGAATCTGAATGACACCTTTTTAACTCTGTAGGTACTATCTTACTTTCGGTATCAACTGGAGATCCCCCAAAAACAAAATCATTATCCCAAACCTCAAGTATGCTTGAAGTCACTCAATTTTATCATTTCTATCAGTAAGATAAGGTTCAAATTTTTGGGGGGAATCGAAGAGTGATGAGAGTACTCTGTTTACTTCTAGTTGAATTTTGCTTTTCGAGTACCACGTATGTATCATATGGCCTTGTTCAACTGTTATGTATCTTTGAGGGGTTTTTTTGTTGGAAGGCATCCTTCATTAGATGGCACGAGTATACAAGCTGCAATATTTAACCTTAAATTTGGCCTCCATATCCAGCTTTGAACATTGAGATTTTTTACACGATAAGCTCTGACCTGTGAGTTCGAAGTTCAAACTCGCCATTTGAAGTTCGAAAGGTAAGCTGAGTTGAATATGATAAGCTTTGAAGTTCGAACTTGCCATCTGAAGTTCGAAAGGTGAGCTGAGTTGGATATGATAAGCTTTGAATCTCGGAAGGCAAGCTGAGTCGCATAGGATGCATTTAAGTCTTATCATCAAGAAAGCAGCCATCCTTTTGGGATGCTTATATGGTTCCGCAGAATGGCTACTCGTATGAGGAATATGAAGGTTCATTCAATTCCACTTCAGCTTGACTTGTGACAGTTGCACTACGAATGGCGAGTTCCCGCTTTGAAGCTCAATACGCGTAGTGACACGTGTACATTACACCAGCTCACTGAGTGCGCAAAGCTCAACGCGGTCGTGACGTGAGGCTTCAACTTCTATATCTTCGTAACACGCCTCACAGCGCCTTTCCTTTACACGCCGTGGACTGATGCGACGGACATGGCACCGTGGACATGGGCGTATGTATGAATATGTGGCTGACACGTGGTCTCAAAATCACGCTTAAAGCTATACTTCCTGATGCTTCGCCAATTTTTTTTGGACAACTTATACTTTCTAGCATCTAACCCAATCGCTTGATTTTGCGCTTGTTATACTTTCCCTTTTTTTTCATCAAAGATTCTTCGCTACCTTGAGACTTTCATCTGGATATCTATACTCTTAGTGTTGTCTCATTCTAAAAAACCTCCCTTGTCTGCTTCGGACCCTAAGATCATTGCGACGCAGAACTCAGAAGCTAGAAGGGAGGATTTTAACTTTGTGCAACATTATCAGTCATATCAGTTAATCATTTGTAAAGGTTGTGGCCATGCCCAAGCATAAGCATAAATCTCCTGCCACTCTCAAATCCCGCCTTCTCCGTTCAATCAAGAAGCATCTCGAAAGGCCCAAGCCTGCCTTACCGAATGCTCGTGCTGCGAAGAAAGCAGAACTGACGAAACACTATGGATTACCCAAAGATTCAAAATTCCTTTTCTTGAAAAAAGGACGTCGTTTCGGGAAGCCTCGTCTGAGTCTATCTCATGGTACGGTTGTCTGTCTCGATGTGGATACCTTGGAGCTTTTACTGGTGGTACGATTTGTGGAGCCAACCGAAATGGATGATTCTCTTTTCGAATCTTACAATCATTCCATAAGCACAATCTATCAGCATGCCAAAGCTCGGAATGAAGTAAAAGGGAATGCTGCTACTTATCGAGGGAGGAGAAATGGTCGAAAGTTTGGCCGAATGTACGCTGCAGGCTTCCGTCCAGGGTATGATCACGAGGTCAAAGGAGGTTCGTGAGATTGTTTTTATCTGTTTGTCACTTCAAGGCCTTCGAAACTTAGCATATGTTCAATAATATAGGTCACTATACATGGAATGCAGACACGGCGAGTGACCTGCACAAAATGGAAGCCGACTTGAAACGACAAGGGAACCTTCCCGCCATCGAATCATTCTTTGCGGAAAGATTCAGCTCCCTATCTTTGTTCGCTTTCGAATCTAATGCGACTCTCGCGGCTCAGTCGAATGCCCCATCTTGGGCGAATGAATCCTTTTACGTATCGCCAAACTCCAAAGTCTTCAGATCCAATATTGTCGTGACCTGTGATGAATTTGTCAACAAGAAACATAAGGATAGAGACTCTTCGAAATATGCATTTGGTTTGTTTAGCTTAGTTGACCGAGCAACAGGCGAGCTTTACCAACGGGGTCTCACCGCTCCCAGAGGTAATACTCTTGGAGCCAGATTCATTCTTGATGACTACAACATCGATGTGAATTTAGATGCATCTGATGGAATCATTGAAATGCTATGGAACTCTCAAATTCATCATCGAACAAGCGCCTCCAAGACTTACGATGTTGATCATAAGGAAATCTCTGTAGAAACCGCCGAAATTACTCGATTCGGTTGCTCTTGTCAAATTTCTCAGGCCTTGGTGAATCGACTTGATAAAGTCAAAGCCTTGCGATCCACGATGTCTGAAGAAGACTGGAATACTTATCAGGCTTCTGTTTTAACCGGCTATAAAGAACAAGCTCACAAAAAGATGAAAGCACTTGCAATCAAGTATCGAATTTGGCAAGATGACTTTTAGCCTTTGGATTATCTGAGATTTGATTGTTTGTTCTTGGGAAGACTTTGGTTGTTTTTGTCTTTGAAAATCTTTGCACTGATCGGTGTTTCAATTCTCCCGAATGGATTTTCTTAAGTTGATTTTAACATCTAGATTTTTTGAATTCTTGTCTTTTCAATAGTGTTCACCTTTGGGGTTATGACCTTATTCTAAATCCATTTCTTTGGCCTCATGTGAATACGCCGCTTGTCTGTCACCTTCTGAACCATATACTCTCAATTACAGTTTTGCATGAAAGAGGTGAAGATGCTTCGTCAAATCTTCCTGATCTGAGCTTCTCTGTAACTACGTATTTTGCCCAGATACCGAGCAATTCAAATGCTATCCTGATCTAGCTGATGATATACAACATATCTGCAATCCACTCTCCTTCATGAGGGCCAGCAGAAGAGAAGGATAATGTATCCAAGATTTGGATAATGTATCAATACCCCGAAATGAATCATACAGAACTATAGTCCAACCAAATTACGTTGATCAACAACAAAGGGGGTTGTTGTCTATAGCCCGCATAAAACCCAAAAGCTCAAGTCCCTTTTAGGTTTTTTCAAGCAACAAAAGTTGGGTGATGTCGCTTTAACTCGTACAACCACCATCTCAACCCAGATAACTGGTCATCCTCAACCTCGAAGTTCGATCAATCCAACGACACTTCAATCCTCACTCGAATTACTGGCCTATCAGTCTCAAACCGTATCAACATCAATTCTTACCAGACTCATGTCGACTCGTAAAGGGGGAACCAATGTAGCTTACGAGTGTCCCCATCTTCCTACGTGTTATGATCCCAGTAGCAAAGGCAAACCTTGCCAAGATTGCAATGGTTTGAACCTGACCGGTGTTCGCAACCATACTCTCACCACCAGGCAACATGCGTTTTGTGCCCCTGGGTGCCCGGTCTACAAATGTAAGTTCTTGTAAAAATTTACTTCGCATCATCATCAAGACTGATGATTCCGATCGCTTGCAGTGACAGATCTGAGTCAAATCGAATTCAAGAGGAAGAAATGTTCGACAACAACCGATTTGCCCGGTTCATCCAATGTCACTCAAACTCGTACTTTTAAGAAATGTTCCACAGCAACTAATTTGCCCGGTTCATCCAATGTCACTCCAATTCATACTTCTAAGAAATGTTCGACACCAACCGATTTGCCTGGTTCACGCAATGTTACTCGAAGTCGTACTTCTTCAACCGAACGGTCTCCTTCACCCTCTGTTCGTGCAGGAAACACTTTACGAATGCGACAAAGAGAACGGACATATGAGGGAGCAGTATCTACCAACCAGGGCGGCAGCGGCGAGCCAAGTCTTCGACGAAGCGGTGTTTGGAGCACCTCTGCATGCAATCCTGTACAGGATAAATTCTCTGGAATGAGCATCAATCCGGAAAAGTTTACCCTTCAAGAACCTCATCATTCCTCTCCGAAAGCCTCTTCCTTCACTCGAGAAACAAATCGAAATTCCAGCAATGTGCCCGGAAATTCTAGATCGAAAAACTTAATCGGGGACATGTCAACTGCCTTTGCTGGTCCTCATCATACCCAATTGGAAAGTAGCTCGGCTCCAAACCCAGGTGTGGCCAACCAGCTCCATGCGTTGATCAATTCTCGAATCTCGAAAGAGGTAGAACCGTTGATGTCTGATTCTCTTATTTTAGATCCTGCTGCCCAGGCCAAGAATATCTGTTATGAGAAACCTTTCCGCTGGGATTGGAAGTTTGGGGCACTTTTGGTGGTATCCTCGATACATATTTTCTGGTTCATCCGGGCATGGTGGGATGAATATACTCATGCAGATTAAGCCTCATCTAGAGTCCTTATGAAATATATTGAATCTCTTGACTTCGATATGGACTCATGTTTACCCTGAAATGCTCAAGCTACAAATTCTTTTATGAAGTTCTTGAGAGCAACCCTTGTAAGCTGTTTTTTAGCTAAAGAATTGCTTTTTGATACATGTAGTTCTGGAGGATGTCCAGTCGTAGGTCTGATAAGGCGGACTCTCGTTGTTTCCTCATTTCTTTTTGTGTGTTTCTGAATTCTGATATGAGCTCTTTCAGTCACTTTTTGTGTTCATTGCCTAAGACCCTGAAACCCTACCAAATTATCATACTGTCTTCAGATTATCTTGCGTTATACTACTCTACGGCTCACTTATTAAAAAATCCAGCCTGGAAGTTCGATGGAAACATGACACCTGTCTTAATTGGCTAATTGGGAGTGACAGATATCTAACTATGAAGGTTATTATATGATAACCTTCTGAAATTTCACTACATCAATTCGTGTAACTTAAAAGCATCCCAGGGAACAGCGTAGGAAATCTGAGATATCTATCTTATATCTATTCAAGGACAACAAAGACTATCATCAAAAACTTGTGCAATACCTCCAAACAAAATGACTCGGGTGCTGAAATCTTGAGCCAGGTTGTCAGACTTCCCCGACACGTAAAACACATATTGCTCCATACACTCGGTAGAAAGTCGGGCGTCCAGTCCTTCAAAAATTCCGCAAAGCCTCCACTTGGATGTCAAGCAGCAAGCCATATTCCTATTATCGCTGCGAGGTTGAGATAGGTTATTATGGAGAAAAAAAAGCGCCAGCATAGAATTCCTGATGTGATGGTTTGTACTTGAGTCAGAGGGACATTTTTCATAAGTTAAAGGTAGTCAACTCGTACCCTTTATATTCACTGACCGCCTTTCAGATATTCTGAGTCTAGAATTCTGGTTGGTATGGGGTTCTTCGATATCTGCTGGTCTCCTTGAGACACCTGCCTTGCTTCTTCTATTCTTTTTGGTGCAGCCATCGCATTTGAAGTGATGAGGAATTGCATGTTGATCGTTCATTTTTCTATGGTATGAACAGTGGTGCGTATCAAGTGGTATAAGAGTTCTGCTAAGATGGAGTTGTATAAGACACCTTCCGGACTAAGTGAAGAGGAATTATCTATCTAAATTGTAGGCAACACATATGCTCTATTTACATGAAGTTCTATTTAACCATAATCTGAACAGCCTTTGTTACCCATGATTTAGAGACTCAGTCCTTCCAATAGTCGCTCAATTGGAGACTGCATGTTTTAATCAGCTCCACATCATGAGTAAGTGGAGTTACTTTCATAGGAACGCTGTGGAAGCTGAGTGCTAAACACGAATCAGTGAACCTTCATCATCCTGTAATCTTGTCCTTATCAATACTCAACCTGATGATCAGAACACGCTAGTGGGGCCTAACCTAGCATATCAGTATCTTGTTACACACCTATGCTAAACCTCACGGGCATCTGTTAGTATATACATTCATCGTGGGTTTTCCCAGGTTTTTACGCTACGCCACCATTTTTCAGATTTGGGTGATGCGCTCAGCAAAACGCGAGCCAAACCCACATACTCAGTACTCTGTAAGGGAAACTAACTTGAACCTATGTAGCACTACATGAGGTCACTACGGACCACATGGCTATGGCAGTGTATGTTCAACTACGCTTCAATAGACTGGAGCCTCTCACTTTCATGTTCCCTTTTTTCCTCGATTTTCTTTCTTGGTAGAGCCCTTTCACTCAATGATGGCTATTGTCCATCACTCAGGAGACAGTGCTACGTAATCCGGTGCAAGCCAGCCAAACAGCGCCTCAGCTACGAATTGAGCAATGAGTTCGAACCTCGTAATGTCATGATGATGCAATGAGTTCGAACCTCGTAATGTCATGATGATGCAATGAGCTCGCTCTATATAAAGATCGTGTCCTGCATCGGTGCATGTTGCTACAATCTACCACCATAGAGTAAAACGACTTCCTACCCTTCAAGCTACCATCTCATAAGCTACACCTTTACTCATAGTTTTCGAACCAAATAATTTACCCATCCTCGAACTTCGCCCAGCAAACGTGGTTCTCATCTCAAAAGCTTTACGTGTACTCAAGTGGTTCGATCTAGACCGCCTCATCACCAATTTTTTTTAGAACATACCTTCGAACCTTCGAACGTCTATGGACCAAAACACGCATGTCTCGGTCCTAAAACAAAAAGTCCATGATAACAAGGTAAGTCTCAAAAGAATTTAATTTTACGGTCACTAGCATGCATTCGTTGCTTCTCGCACTGAGGATGAATTCCATGCTGATAAGACCAAACTTGTCAAAATTGCAAAGCAGCATCCATCCACAATCCTCCAGTATCTCGAGTCACACTGGTTTCCAATAGTCAAAAAGTATGTGAAGCTATTCACAAACACTTTCCTCCACTTTGGAAACCAATCAACTTCACGAGTCGAGGGTTCCCATCACTATATCAAAAGTTACCTTAAAAGTTTTACACGGGACTTATTATCCTATTTCAAAGCTTCCAAACTAGAAGTTAAAGATCAACTTGCTCAGAAAGTTCCGATTGAAGCCTTTCACCATCAGTGGCGACTCGATGCTGACCCAATTCCAGAATCATTGGAAGCTTTGGAAGGTGACTTACAAACGCAAGCCCTTTGTAATCTTCCCGAAAATGCATTACAAAGAGCATATGACGAACTCACCAAAGTTCAGAGTGGTACATATGATCTTGAACAGGTTGTCTCGCCCGAAACTAAGATCGAAACACATGGTCGCACAACAGGTTCCAACAAGGACAGGTCAAGAGACAGATCTACACTTCGAGATCCTTCGAATGAGTACGTAGCTCATCCCAAACCAAAAGCTCCCCGAAAACAAAAGGATCACGCAAAACCAAAAGCTCATGCAAAAGCAAAAGCTCCACGCAAGTGTAGTAAGTGTAAAGAAGCTGGGCACACTAAAAACAAGTGTCCACTTGTATCTCGACCGCACCATCCAACTTTGGAAGAGCTTCGACTTGATCAAGATGAAAATACACAGAACGATGATTCCAGCTCAGAATTCAGTCTAACCCTTCAACAAATACGCGAGGAGCTTGATCATGACTCCAATTCGCAAGACGGGAATGATAATGAGGCACCTATATGCCCCTTCTGCCATGACCCTCTTCCATCACAGCTTTCAGAAAAACTTCGAAGCCTCCTTGAAATTCTTCTCGAACGATCACGCAGGGTCTCTCTTTCGGTAAGTTTGACTTTGGATTGGCTGCCCTCATTCCCCTTCAGCACTTTACATAAGACCAATTTTTGCCTAATCAACATGTGTTTGTATCCCATCAGATATCTGATACCATAGCATTCTGTGCAATGCACGATGCAGAGGCCGAATATGTTCCCATCGGGATCGAGAATGGGTGGCCTCTATCGATCCATTTCGATGATCTATCCGAGTAAGTGATTCAATCTTCAAATATGACCAAGACATGGCCTTCATATATGTGGTTTTTTCAATGTCTCACTAACCATTTGGTTGTGTAGAGAAATACATTCCTGATCTGAAACTGATCATCAATCGTCATATTGAAAGCACTTACTTGAACGGTGCGCTACACATCTTACAGAAACATGGTGCACGTGGTGCACGTCGAATGGATAGTGTTTGGCATGGAGATCTCACTTTTCATCTTGAACAACCAGGATAGTAAGTATTTCCCTCATCAAATCTTTTTCTCATCTTTTGGTAGCTGATATTGAATTACAGCTATGGAGGCAGAGGGTTAGAAATTATCTATCGAACTCTTCATTGGCATTTCCTGCGTCATCAAGCCCCAGACCAACTTCAATCCATAAAAGCCGCGCCTCTCAGCCCTGATAGCTGGGTTCGCACAGTTATGATACCCGAGGTTTCTTTAAGACTAATCGCAGAGGATCTCAAGGTATCCATTTTGGATCCTAAAGCTAAAGATACGCTCGAGAGCTCTCGAGCATATGGCATGGCTATGTTTCCAGTCGACGATGATAACTTTTGAGATTGCACAGTATTGAAGGATTGGTAATCAGAGATGAACATTGTTATTGAAGTCCACTCGCTGAAAGTACCTACTAAGGCCTGCTAAGATGTATATAGTTGGAATGCAAAATCATCAAAATACAGCGCCAAAACATAAGCAATCTTTACTTGCCCTTTCTGCTGCCCTTGTTTTTGCTCCTCAAGCAAACTTATCCCTCCATGAAAGCTCCTCGTCTAGTGTATCTGAATTTCTCTGTTCACTTTACTCTCAAGTTTCCCTTCATACTCGCAATACTCATTCTTACACTAATCATTCTATAAATCTGATATACTTGACGGCGAATTCTTTTGACCTTCCACCGACCTTAGCAGGTTTAAATGTGTTGATGATACTGCACGGAATATACAGAGAATACACGCAGGATGGTAAGCAAAGACATACTTTAGAGATCTCTTTGTAATAGGGAGCCTTCACACCTTTGAGTGGAAGTCTGAGGAGTACGTCTTCTATGGAGACTTCAACAAAGAATAATCGTTAGATGCGAAGACCTAACTCCCCCAGTACAGCTTTTCCTCAAGCAAAAAAACACTGTTTATGCAATGATATGGTGTTATGAAATTCTGAATGAAATCTGATTTCTAAGGCTGATATCTGAACTCGGAGTGACACGCGCGGGATGTTAGCCTCAAATCGGTTTGGACCTACTTCAAGGGAAGACGCAGACTTGTCTACACGACAGAAACCGGCTTCAGCAGGTTTTGGAATTTTCCTGAAGCCTTCACAGGTAGCTCTGACCTGTACGACCTCCAGAATAGTCCTGAGTAATCCAAACTAAGGAAAACCGGTGTCATGTTTTTTTATGTCAGCGTTTATTTCGGTGAAGTTCTATTTGACCATCATCTGAACAGCCTTTGTCAAATTGTCACCTATGATTTAGGTACTTACTCAGTCCTTCCAAGCGTCTTTCAATTGGGGACTTCGTGTTTTAATCAGCTCCGCGTCATGAGTAAGCAGAGTTCCTTTCATAGGAACGCTGTGGAAGCCGAGGGCTAAACAAGAATCAGCAATACTCCATCACCCTGTAATCTTGCGCTTATCAATACTCAATCCTATACCTGATGATCAGAACACGCCAGCGGGGGCCAAGAATGTCAGTATCTTTCTACGCACCTATGCTATACGTCACGGGTATTTGTGAGTATATACATTCATCATGGGTTTTTTGGAGTTTTCCGCTACGCCACCATTTTTTCAGATTAAGGTGACGCGCTCAGCTGCAAAAAGCGAGCGGAACCCGCGTACTCAGTTCTCTGTAATCGAAACTTCGCGTATTACCATTGACAATCCTTCCTATGTCCAAACTTGAACCTACGTAGTGCGACATGAGTAAGTGTAACTACGCCTCGATAGACTGGAGCCTCTCACTTTCATGTTCCCTTTTTTCTTCGATTTTCTTTCTTGGTAGAGCCCTTTCACTCAATGATGGCTATTGTCCATCACTCAGGAGACAGTGCTACGTAATCCGGTGCAAGCCAGCCAAACAGCGCCTCAGCTACGAATTGAGCAATGAGTTCGAACCTCGTAATGTCATGATGACGCAATGAGCTCGCTCTATATAAAGATCGTGTCCTGCATCGGTGCATGTTGCTACAATCTACAACCATAGAGTAAAACGACTTCCTACCCTTCAAGCTACCATCTCATAAGCTACACCTTTACTCATAGTTTTCGAACCAAATAATTTACCCATCCTCGAACTTCGCCCAGCAAACGTGGTTCTCATCTCAAAAGCTTCACGTGTACTCAAGTGGTTTGATCGAGACCGCCTCATCACCAATTTTTTTAGAACATCTTCGAACCTTCGAACGTCTATGGACCAAAACACGCATGTCTCGGTCCTAGGACAAAAAGTCCATGATAACGAGGTATGTCTCAAATGAATGTTGCCGACTGGGATTATTTGACTAACCAGTAGCTCTTTCAAGATGATGATGGGGATGATACTCACACAAATGGAATATATAAGGAATAAACTGAAAAAGTCTTCCGGTTCCATGGTCAGTCTGACATTCTTTAAATCAGATGGTGCAATATAGAAATAACTGACGAGAAAGACTCAGCAGGCGCCGAAAGAGGGAGGTGACATTGTCGCTGGCCAACATGATTTGTGGTACAATGATATTGAAAGCTGTAAAGAAGCAATTGAAGTCATAAAACAGGTTCGAGGCATTCATACAATTTTATATTCTTAACAATCATTCTGACCAATCTCCTTCATGTGTAACTTTCAACGCAAGTAGAGAATTGATCACGGAGAACAAGACTGTACCACAATACCAAAGCTCACTTCCACAATCAAGGGCATAGAAGAAAGATTGCAAGGGGTTGATGCTAAGCTTGACCGTCTGGAAGAAGAAGAAGTCAAGTCAAAACTTTTGGGCCCGGTTCAAGTGCCTGTATGCAATGAGCTTGCCACCGTAGACAACAGTACAAATTCAGTTTTACACACGTTCAATGAGGTTATTATACTTCAGATTTCTCCCTTGCTGCTAACTTTTTATCTCACCTATATTTCCCAGAATTCCTATCACTGAAATCCTTGCTTGTTTCTAATCTTACAGAAATTGATTGCTCAGGAACAGGCGATCATCAAGCAAATTTTCAAACATGTCGACACTTTGTTAACCGCTCAGGCAAATCTGATGGCCGGCGCAAGAGATGAAGATCAAAAGAAAATGGCTGGACTTGTCCGCAACGAAATTAACAATTTACATCGAGAACTATTAATCCAAAATGCATCACACGATGTGACTATGATGAAAAATCAGGTAGACCCGCTGGCTTCGGAAATCCAGGATTTGAAATCAATGGTGCAGGCACTTGAAAGTACAGTGGAAACGCAGAGGAATACGATTGAACTATGCTCCCAAAAGGTTGAACTTCTGGAGGAGGTTCCGCAGATATCACTACTCAAGGATACAGGTGATGATATGGAGATTGAAAAAGTGAGGCCTACTTTCTTGTCAAATGTTTCGCTGATATCTTCCGGATTTCTATGAGCTAGCCCCCTGACTATGTCATGTTTGATCATCTTTAAGCCGGAGGATCTTCTTGAACGCAGAGTGTCCGCTGTCGAATCTTCCCTTTTCTCGGTAGAAGCCGAGGCCCAGCGTGAAGCTCTGGATGCTGAAAAGTTCGGAAGATTTCAAGAGAAGATGCTAACATTGATTAAGGCAATGGTAGAAGAAAGCAGCCAAACCAAAGTATGTGTATGATCGTGTCTCCTTCGCTTCTGGATGAAACGTTATTGATTCAAAGTGAAAATTCACCATCAAAAGTTGGCAGAAGGGCTGGGCGATCAAAGCATGATAACAGAGTCTGAAGAACCCAAGTTAGACCTTGAAGAAGAATTCAATAGCAGATTTTCGGCCTTCAGGAAAACGATAGATGATCATGTCGAGAAACAGATAGCCATCACAATTGAAAGAAAAGCAGTACAAGAGAAAACTTCTGATGTACGTGATTTATAGCCTTCATTATGTTCCTTGCACGATTGACCTACGTCTAAAGTCACGACCACGCCGACAGGTCACGACCACGCCGACAGGTTTCCGAAGATCTGAAACTTCGCGACGAGGAGAATCGGAGGCAGATCTCCGATCAAGCCAAAGCTATAGACAATATCTCTGCCGGGCTTTCACATCCCAACCGTGCACATTCTGGCACTCCTCAGAAGCCTTCAGAGGTAGAATTTGGAGAACGAGAATCGCCCCATAGTGAACCTGCGAACGACGGTCGTCATTTACTGATTCATCAAGTAAGTGGAGGAGATCTCCAGTGGGAGGCGAGAGCAGCAGATTCGATTGATGCCGATGTAAGTAAATTTTGTAGATGTACATGACATTGAATGAAAAGGATTGATTAACGTTGAGAGCTCTCTTTCGTGAAAAGCAGATCGAAAGACTCAATCCTCCTGGGGACCACCAATTTGTGGATGTTTTGCAAGGCGTATCGCGATCTCATGTGCAAGTCTCAGTGCTGATGGACCAACGTACATCGAATTCGCAAACTGCTTCGGATCTCGAGGGTGCCACTAGAAGTAGCTTGACGAATCCGATTGAACAACATTCGCAATCCTCCTCGCAAGGCTCAGTGCCTGTGGCCAACCCGGCGAATCATCCATCGTTTTCACAAACTTCCTCGAATTACGACGGTGCCATTAGAAGTAGCTTTGCGAATCCAAGGGGTCAAGATTCGCAGTCTTCCTTTCCAGCGTCAGTGGCCATGCACAACTCAGAAAATCATACATCGCCTTCACGAACTCCTTCACACCTCGAGGGTGAGACTAGCCACACCAGGAACAACCAACCCCGGATAACATCTGTCCCAAAGCGAACACAGAAGTGGAGGAAATCTAGCATAACACCACAGAAGCCCAAGGGCCCGACTCTTCGGAAGGAAAGACTTTCGATGTCTTCGCAAGCCAAAGAGGCTGATGAACAAACAGTAAGTTGTTCAATGAGTCCACAGCTGATGTCGAGAGTATGAAACTGATGCTTTGTTTGGTGCAGGCAAGTCAGGTCCAGAAGCATTTTCGACTTATGGCTGGGGTGGATCGGCGTAAAGCAGACTTTCCAAGATCGCCAACAAGAGAAGAACTCGAAAAATTACCAAAGCTGGCTGTGGATTACGAGACGGCACCGCTTGGCGAGGCGGCCCGAAACCTCATCAGACCTGACCAGCTTCAACCAACTTGGAAAGATGAAGAAATGGAACTTATCGCAAAGGGTATGCTTCCATATTGCCGACGTAGACTTCAGCAGTACGGCCTTCCTTACGTTGGCTTGAGCACTGATCAGGGAGATGCACAAGGAGAAGACTGGAATAGGCGTGTTCTTGCATTCTGCACGGATACATTTAACAAGGCGTATGCGGGTCAAGAGTATCACATTGTGGATCATGACCCACAACGCATCATGAAATTGATGAAAGCACATATTGAATACCGTGTGAAGCATATGAGAAAGTACAATAATCAAATAGATGCACTTCAGATGGTCCAAAAACGAGACCGCCAGCAACAAAGATGTTTACGGGTGCGTTCTGAAAGATTAGCTGTATAAGTTATAAGTCGGAACTGATTTTTCCTACGTTCTTTTTCAGCTTGCGAGGCGAAGGCGGGAGGTTTGCGAGCTTACTGATAGCTCACCATTTTCAAGATTCAGTGGCCTCTTTGAGGACGAGCGACTGTGTTCATCAGACGAATCTGACGACGATGTGTTGAATGAAGACCGAGTGAGGCATACTCCTGTATGGAGGAGCTCTCTCGCTACATCACTTGTGGAGAACATCGATAAAGCATATCAAAAGATGAGGCAAGGCGAATGTCCAAAGCGAGCTGGACGGAAACCGGCGAAGCGTATGCTTTCAAACCACCGACCTGAAGGTGGCAAGTCACGATGGCCGGCAGGCCTGCCCAAAGATTGCTACAATGATGTGTGGCTACGCGCCCTTGACAAGAAAGATTTGGATAGTCTTGAAATGAAGGAATGTATCTTAGGCAATTTGTTTGTGTCCCTTTCATGATGACCATCCTGACAGCCTGAAAGTTCTGTTCATATTCCCCGGTCAAACTTGAGCTCTGATTCATCATTTGAATAGTCTACTTCATGTCTCTGCAATCAAAGTTTCTCATTCTTCTTTCTCTCTGTTATCTGTGAAGAGCTGTTCTCATTAAAAATAACTGAAGTTTCACAAACCATAGATGCGGAGATCGCCAAAATACCAACGAAGATCATAGTTGCAGAAGGGTACTATCATAATCTATATAACTTCGAAAGTATGGAATTTCTCTCTATCTTATTCGTCCCATCTATTTATATCATATCCCATTTGAAATTGCCCTAGGCGTGCCAAGAAAATGCTCCATTGAAATTGAGACGATATGTGGAGCTGGAGCTGAATGCCAAATGACCGAAGAACCGAAGGATGTTCATGTTGTTACCAAAAGCGCCTTGTCATATCCAAATGTCAGAGCGCGCACCCCCCAAACACCTGATCACACCAGAATGTCTGAGTAGGTATAGACTTGATTTGATTGGGACACCCTGAAAGGAGTTCTTAAAGAAACTATCAAGACAAATACACATCTACAAAGCATAAGTTAAGACTAGTCAACATGTAGACGCACGCAGACCCTGTGGTTCTTTACTCGTCACTTCAACAGCGAGATAACGTTGTTCTTCTCACCAGAAACTAAATATCACTGGGTGTATCTTTCTCTATAATTCATTTCGAGTTCTTCTATTTGGTTATGGTTCGAATGGCTTGTGTCTACAACAACCTCCACCAAATAAGCCTGAAAGTATGAACCTTTTGGTATTAACACATCCTTTCTGCAACTTCAGAAAAAACTACGGGGTGCCCAGAAAGCATTCATTCGAATCCATCCTGTAAGTCAAAGAATGCCCACTTCGAAGACATCAGCAGTAGCTAAATTGAAGGCTTTGTGTTGACTGCACTGTTTGTACGTTTTGTGTCAGGTAGTAGATAATAAATATTTTCGAAATGGTTTGATTGGTTTTGATAGTATAGAGAGGTGAATATGGTTTTCAGCTTTGCGAAGGGAGAAATTGTTGGACAACATCATCTTGACGCCAAGTGGAAAGGGCGGTAAACAAAACCCCGCCTGTCCAGGGCGGCAAGATATCCGCTCAAGACATCCCTTTGTTCCTCCGGTTCCCGTACTACGTACGTAGTGTTTGAGTCAGATGTGAACTCGAGCCCGAAACCGGGAGCCAGAGCACACGCGTGCAGTATAACCCTTTGTGTTTGATGCAGAATAGCGATCGTCTGACTTCTGCTTCCTCTTGAAAAACCTTAGGACCTCAACATGGATGTGGTGAGCGATGATCAACTTTTTCCTCCCTTTCCCATACTTTTAGTACCACACCATGGAAGTTTTTAGCGTAGCACATCGGGTCATACACGCGACTACGGGAATGTTGACGAGGTCCATTAGCTATACAGTGACTCCGAGTGTTTGAATGAAGAGAAAAAATGTGACTCTCACCTCAATTGCTTATCCGACAAGTACCACGAAAGTAGAACACACCCCGACATGGACATGAAGGGTGATCATCAGGGTTATGCTCTCTTTCGCAGACCCTTAGCCCCACAATACGGGCATGGTGCACGAAGCGTATCAAGTTCAGCACACGACCGCCAGGATTTTGAGGACTCCCATCGACTGCACATGAACGTCAAGTGTTTACAGGTCGAAGGCAAAGAACGTGATGCTCGTGTCAATCGCTTATTCCATGAGCTTCACGACCATAGAACATGGCTAACAGAACAGCTTCAAGATTGTGCTACAAAACACGAAGACCTGGATGTACGCCATAGGCAAACTCAGAGACTGCTGACGAGGGTACTAAAAAATTTCGATGAACTTAAAAGTGAGCTCGAGGAAAAATGTGAGCACTTGTGGGAAAAAAACATGCAACTTACAAAGGCATCAGCAAGAGTACAAGGCCAGTATCTTACAAATATATCCCTGTGCCTATGTATACTTATCTTGTCCCTATCTCTTCCGTTCTCAGAGAAGCATCAGATTGAGATCAGTGCCTATCGCACATCTTTAGAGGAATCTAAAAATCTTGGAGAACAGTTACAGGAAGCAGTTCGACAGCAGTGTTGGTCTACCAAAGAGCAGCTTAATAAACTGTCACAGAAAACCAAAGGTATTCCCAAATTTCGTCACTTTACTAAGGCATGCAACAAGAGCTCACAGAATAATGGCCGCTTAGAATTCCATCAACACCAAATTCAATCGGAAAATGCCACTGACCTGCGGCTTCTGGAGTTCAAGGCGAAAGTGGAAGAGGTATTACAAGCTGCAAGAGGCAAGTCTATTCAGAATGACATCAGCTGGAGACGTAAATGCCGTATTTTTAATCTCATGATATATTGGGTAGAGGCTCAGGAACAAGTTGACATCAAGTATGAAGAGGTCTTGCAAGAGCAACACAAGACTGAAATGATACTTTCAAATCTCACAATGAATGTCGAATGTCAGAATAAAAACGAAAAAGGTGATTGGTTTTCACCCGCTGATTGGTGATGGTAAGAACTGATGTCAATGATCATTTTGAAGACCGTCTTTTACACGAGGAAGTGAAATATGAAAAACTAACGAGATTAGCTAAAGGTGAGATGACAGATGAAAAATCAATGAGATTAGCTGAAGGTGAGATATTTGTACACAAGTCTACATCCTTTGTGACTTTATATTGACGGAAAATGAGTGGATTTGTCAGGAAAACACGCTTGTCCATCCCACCAGTTCTGTATCTCACTGCGCATGGGTTCAATATTGGCTTTTGCGGCTCTATTCATTTACTTATTGACAACAGAGGATGATTATCGGCACCCCAACATCCTTTGATATATCCATCCGTCAGGCCGAATTTTTGTATAGTAACTTGTCGTAGAGGAACTTTTATAGGAGAAAACCAAAATCGAAATAGGAGCAGATAGAGAAACAGCGAGAAGGGCCTTGCGTGGATACCTGGTTTCATTCTAACTCATAGATCTGTCAAATAAATCGTTTGGGAGACATCTTATCTTCATCTTGTGTTTGTTACGCTTGGTTTTTAGGTTAATTTTGTTATTCATTTTCAATTTCATCCAAAATACGAGACTCCCATCATCAACGAAAAGACTATCAACATTTTTTATTTTATTTTCCTCCTCCCACCGTAGAAGCTTGTTGAAACAGTCAGGGTTTTTCTACAAACTGTTTCAGCTCTTTATGCTTCGTAGTATACATGATTTCCATTCTGCGAGTGATCCTTTAGGAATAGTTGCAAGATGTAACATGCGATCTAATGACCCGAGGTGGGAGAACTTGAACGCGCAATCAGTAAGGATGAAATTACAAAATATGCAGGTAAAGGATAGTCTCACCTTCCAAAGATACTTCTGCAAGACAATCAACATGCTAATCCTTGAAGGCTTGCCTGAAAGCTCGAGCTTCTGATGACAACATTCTCAAAGTCGGCAGCAACCAAAAATGGCTCAAAAGTGCACAAAAGATGATGAGGGTTGTCGAAGTGGCGATCAAGGATAGAGTATCGCAGAAACCTTCCATGGCTTTCAAGCCATGATACTCCAAAAGATGATGTTGTGTTGCCGCACATAGCTGATGTTTCGCGGTAGTTGGTAGTGGCGCCAGCTGTTGTTCCCAGAACGTCCGTGCCTGTGCGCGTGAATACTGAAGTGCATGGATTATTATTTGGCAACTCTTCATGAGCACGGCATCTAGTAAAATGATTACGCGAATAGTGCAGAGTATCAAGATTCTGGTGAGGTTGGACTTCATCTCGGCTGCCTATTAGGAGTTGTTCAAACCGAAAGTATTTGGGGTCAAACTCTGTACATCTAAGAATCTTGAAGTGGTAGACAATTATTTACTTGGGTGCCTGGTATCGATTATATACTATACGTTGGTTTCAATTTATTTGAAGAGTCGATAGGATGCAGTCTATTTTGTTTTGATGTCCACGTATGGAATCATATATATGGATTTGAGGATATATACATTACTTTCTGCTCAGTCGTATACTACTCGGAACCCCCATTGTTATTTCCTTTGATAACGCTTTTCGGCAATAAGGTTCTCTTACAAGCGTTCATTGACAAGCTGATGAACTCAGGGCCTCTGGCAACTGAGGCGCAGCGGTCGCTCAGTTTCTTAAGGACCCTGCTGAAAGTTCCAAGGGTGGCTAAGGGTGGCTACGCGCGAAGTTTTCCATTGGTCATGAGGGTCAAGCCATTGTGTAGCCCTTAGGGCACGGCAGTGTAACGCAGTGACGTGGTATTGTCGTATTGTACGTACGTGACGCGTAGTGCTATATGCACAGGTTTCTTTTCGAACAGGTATTTCAATAATATTGTGTATGTTGAGTTGCTTATATGACAAGATGACGAACATTTTCTTCTTCAACAGTGGCAGAGAGAATGACGGGTAACTTGACTCAAAACATACATCATCCAATGGAATGGTATATGATTTCTATCTTACTCGGATATCATCAATAGTACCTTGTTCTTTTTAAGACTGCGCTCGAAGCTCGAAGCTCGAAGCTCGTTGAACTTGATGTTGACGTTCAAAGTTCGAATTCTCAAGTATGACTCTTCATGCACCTATGGCATGAGATCAAGTTGAAAAGTTGTCACAACCAATTTCCAATGTTCATAGAGCTCAGCTGCCAAAATCTCACAAAGGTACGTAGTGTGACAATTTCATCAAACATCAGTTCAATCTTACCCTTAAACCTGGAAAAACACGTATTACCGGTGCCATTGTCTTCTCGGCGAGTAACTCTCTGTACGTACGGCGTATGGCACTGACGGGTTGTACCACCTATGGGTAGCGTCACCCAGAAATACACAGGGAATAACAGGCATAGATACATACATCCAATTTGAAAGTTTTACATCATAGTATCTCCGGAAGCCCATCAATAAATAAACCATTTCATATCTTGACATACATAAGGAATAAAAGAATAGGTATGACTGTCAAAACTTCGTGAAGGATAGTTGAGAAGGTGTCGAAACATCATAGAAAGCATAGGCTAGACCGCTTCGAATCGATCTGCACATCGGACAAATGACCGTTTCGAACCTTTACGCATGAACTCGGAAAATCGACCTACTTTCTAAACCGATGAAGCCCAGGGAAGTGTAAACATGAGGTATTTGGTTAGTTTTGTCGACATTTCGTTTTTACAAGCTGGTCTGGATTACTGACATTGAAGATCTTCTGATTCTCTCAAAGACCATGAAATGGGCCATATTTACGTAGCACTTGTGTTCTGAATACACGGATCAACTTGGCTTTGAGAATATTGCGGGGTACGCGGTGACTCGGTACGAAGTGGTGGATTAGTTCTCGAAGGGCACCCTTCGTCACTGATCGAGCTTGAAGTTTAACGTTGGGTGAGAGGATTTCAATCAATTCCGTCGGTACGCTAAAGATTTTCTTCCAGAACAGAGGGTCTTCGTGGGGCGTGGACGGACGGACTGCTCGGCGGTTTGGATGGTTATGAGAAGGTACAGCCATTCTACATGCTCGGATAGGAGCTGAGCGTCTACGTATAGGTCTTGAAGGTGAAGTAATATTCCCTGTGATTGATATGTTTCCAGAAATGATCATGGCTAGTAAGATGAAGATGAGATAGCTAGATTAAGGATGAATTCGACTATTAGAGAAGTATTCTTCGAAGCGATGACTAGGTGAGAATGTGGACGAGTGATGTCAAAGATAACCGGTATATATTTGAGGTGAGTAGATAATTTGTTTTGATAGGTGAGATCGAATATCGTGAATGGGTGAGTGCCGGCTCCTAAGTTGAGATCATAGCAATTTATAACCGTTTCACCCATCTGTTTTTCGAATCTCTTTGTTTTGCAAAGGTAGCAAAAGAAGACTCACCTTGAGCCCTTTGTCCCCAAAGATATTCGTAAGATACTCTCTGCTTAACGCCGCATGTTAGTATTGCCATTGATAACGTACCCGAGAACGCGTCATTGACCAAAACACGCGTAGTATGCCATTCATTCAAGCCACGTGCTGAATCCGGCCTGCTAACACCTCAGAGTAAGTCCCATTGACAACTAAACCCCGCTCAGCACACCAGGCTCAGCACTCAGTCACAGAACACAGGACTCCCGATAAGTTTGGATGGAAGCTCATCATTACGTTTGTGTTCAGGTCAACTTCCTTTGAGCACTCAACAGTCACCTCCTAGACACTCACATCCTGGGTTTGAATCACACGCTTTCGACTGAGGAAGTGATCCGATCAACATTACACGTCCTGGGTTTGAAGCAAACGCTTTCGACTGAGGAAGTGATCCGATCAACATTACGATCTTCATATTTGTAAAACAGATATCTATATAACCCCGACCTATAAGACACTTCCTTTTCCACTCCATACGATCTTCATAGTCATACAACAGATATATATATATAATCCTGACCTTCAAGACACTTCGATCTCCAGTCCATCTCTTCAAGACTATCTTGATAAAATATATCCCTACTTGCATCTGGTATTTCACTTTGTTCCTTTTTTCTAAGTACCCTCACTTCTGAAGCATAGACCGGTTTAGAGGAAGCTACGCGGTATGCCAAGACTTGTTCACAAGATTCGAAAGTTTGGCGACAAATTGTTCAAGAGACTTCGTCGACCGGATTGTAAGTTCATCTACACCTCAAATAGATATGTCTCGATCACTCACGATTGGGTCTACTTCTTATTTATCAAAGATTCAAGCAGAACATCAAGACCCGTTGTTCCAATGGCAAGCGACATGCCAATCTCAATGGACAAGCAGCCTTCCGTGAACAATCATGATGGCACCTCTCAAGCAGATTCCGAAAGTAACGAAGTGATTCTCGCTCCATTATCCTCGGGAACCCATATGGAGAGTAAGTCAAATGGTTCTTCTCTATCACCACTGAGACCACTCAAGCACCCTCATGACAAATCGAATAGCTTTGAAGGCAAGGCTCACACTTATTCATCAAATTTCTACTAACAAACAACTATCAATACTCCAGATTTGATCATTACCAAGGGAGGAAGGATTCACAGCGATTCGTATAGATTCAAAAAGGTCTTGGAGCTCAAAGATCTCCATAGTCTGGTGAGGGACATGTTGTATGGTTAGTCATTCATTAATATTGATGATATTGAATATGACGATTGCTGACTGAAAAACACCAGGAAAAGTGCCTAGAATCGGTAAAGATATACCAATGGGGATTGAACGTTTGGGTGTGCGTAATGTGAAGCGACACCGTATGCCACGACTTGTTCACAGGATTCGAAAGTTTGGCGACAAATTTTTCAAGAGACTTCGTCGACCTGATTGTAAGTTCATCTACATCTCAAATTAATAGATATGTCTCGATGACTCACGTTTGGGTCTACTCCTCTATTTATCAAAGATTCAAGCAGAACATCAAGACCCGTTGTTCCAATGGCAAGCGACATGCCAATCTCAATGGACAAGCAGCCTTCCGTGAACGATCATGATGGCACCCCTCAAGCAGATTCCGAAAGTAATGAAGAACCACTAGAAAATCATACGTCGACTTCTAGCAATTGTAGCACTTCCAACACAGTGCCCGGTTCACTATCCTCTGGGACCCATATCGAGAGAGAGTCAAATGATCCTTCTTCTTCACCACTGAGAACACTCAAGCGCCCTCGTGAAAAGATGGATGGCTTTGAAGGTCAATCTCACAATTATTCATCGAATTTCTACCAACGAACAACTTCTTCTACTAACGAACAACTATTAATACTCCAGATCTGACCATTACCAAGCGTGCAAGGATTCACAGCGAATCGTATAGATTCAAGACGGTCTTAGAGCTCAAAGCTCTACATAGGCATGTGAGAGACATGCTGTATGGTTGGTCATTCATTCCTATAATAAATGATGTTGAATATGACAATTGCTGACTGGAAAACACCAGGCAAAGTGCCTGGAATCGGCGAAGATATACCAATGGGGACCAAACGTTTGTATGTGTGTAATGCGATGCAGAGAACGTTTGAACACATCGATAATATCTTTAGAGAGCTGTTGATAGATGAGGATGTTATCATGGATGATGTACATGATGTTTCATCATAAGTATACGTATATATCGATTTGAGGCTTTTTCCACTTTCAATCTTATGTCCCCTTTGGGTTCGAACGTCTCTTTCGTATATATGAGTAAAAATTTCAGAATTAGATGTCATAATTTTTTATATATCGAAGCTCCTAGTTGTAAAATCAAGGCTGAAGTGTGGACAATGAGCTTTCAAAAGCTCACATATTTATCATGCCATGCTGCCATATTAGGGCTGAACTTGATTTCCCACTCATATGATCCAAAGATGAAATAATTCCAATCAGTGAAGCTCTTCGAATATAGCTAAAAAAATATTGAGTAGAAAAGGGATCGCCGATTTTTACGCTCAACGTCTTACGAGCTGTCATACACGTCAAAGTTGGTGTTTGACTGATCATGAGGTATACGCTTTACTCGTGCTTATCATGCATCACTTACAGTCGATTGCACAAAGCTTGGAAAGAATTCCACGCCAACTTGCTCAAATTTAGCAGGCAAAATTTTGCAAGCTTTCTGAAATCGGCTGTACATCTGGGTAGCCTGCTGACTACAGTGTTCGAAGCAATATTGATTTATCGAAGTGATGAGGTTTTGTGTACGGAGTGATATTTTTTCTCGGTCTCCATGACTGGCCCGATCGCCACGTTCAATATTGCGAAAGCTTATCATGCTCATGTATTGCATGGATTGGGACCTCTTCGATTATCATGTTAAGGACAACGTAAACTCAAAATCCGAATCATATACTTGGATGTATCCTCATAAAACAGAAAAAATCAAGAGTTCCTTCGATTTATCAATCTACATGAATACAATACACAAGTCAAAAAACAATGCACATAGAAAAGATTCTTCTTCTTTGCTCAAACACTTGAAGAAGAAGACATCCTTTTGATCTTGCACCAATCACGCGTGCTAACACATGTGTAGCTTGACGTAAACATCAAAATACCTTGTAGAACGCTGAGCATGAATACGTAATGAGTCATTTGAAAGCTTAGTATTGTATATTTTGGATTACTCAGGGAGGATGCGCAAAGTCGACTTTGGAAAATCGTAGAATAAATACCTGATTTTAAGATTTGGATATCAGCAAGGTTCGAAACCCTTGTGTGTTGAAGCTTTCGAGTCTCGACCCCTTTGCCTGACGAATAAACCAGCCGAGTCCCGGACTTTGTTCACCTCACCAATTGCTCAATCCAAACTTCATAATCCCCTCTCCCTATCTTCCTTTCAAAATTCCACATACACATCAAACAGTCCTCACATCTTTCTCCTTTCTGAATTCCTTGTTCGAACTTCGAACTCCTAACTTTATCACCGTTTTTTCCTTTCTAAATCCGTTGTCCGAACATCTGTCTCAGTTCATCATCTTAAATGGAACATTCAAAAGGCCTTACTCCAGACGAGGAATCCCACGTCCCGGGTACTCTCATAGAAAAATCTGGATCCCCTCGACCGGTTCGTTCAAACAGTCCTCACATATCTTTCCTTTCCAAATTCCTCGTTTGAACTTCGAACTTCGGAATTCATCACACTTTTTGTGTTTCTAAACCCCTTGTCCGACAATTTCTCTCACTTTTCACTTAGAAACATTCGCAAGTCCTTACTCCCGATGAGGAATCTCACATACCAGGTACTATTATAGACATCAGATTTAAATTCCCTCGATCGGTTCGTTGCGAGACCGAGCCGGACGAGGCTTTGATCGGGAAACACAAGTACTCGAAGGTATACAAGTTTGCCAATCCTTGTTCAAGATGCGCCAACACTGGTCGTATCTGTGTGACTAGTGGCACGAAATCCGTCAAGTGCGAGTGGTGCAGGGTTTCGAAGATACCTTGTGACGTCAATGGAGTGGAAACTGTGCACTTCAAGTGGCTGCGAAACGGAAGCCTCTTCCCTGACTCGAAATTCGACACCAAGACTAAAGCATCGAGCACTGACCTCCCCGACGAAATCTCCCTGTTGGGTTCGGAAGACGAAGCTAGGGTTGATGATTGGTCAACAAGGACACAAGGTAGGTGATGCTTGCTCCATCGCATCTGCTTGGAGATGCGTGTTCGAACTGACAAGTGTCTCTTCATAGATGTCGATCCTCTCGATCCCAGTCCACTGCAAAATTTCGGTGTGGAGATACCTTTGGCTAGGAAATCAGGGTCAAGGATCATACAGGATGATATAAGGGCCGACCGATATCTTCAACGTGTGATGGGATGGCGACGAAGCTCTGAGGCACCACCCTTCCGCCCCTTGGGCTTCATTACGATGCCTGTTGAGGAGATCCCGGACCCATCGAACAAGAGACCTACCCCGGATTCCGCTAGATCTGAAGAAGAAGAGGATCGACCCAAACGAAAAATCAGAGTCAAGATTCGAAAGCCCCCAAGTTTGGAGGACGACGACCCTTCATCCCCTACTGCTCATTCTGCTCCTCGAACTTCCTATCCTCGGCCCTCTCAACTCTCCTCCTCGGCTCCTGCTCCATCCCTACCCTCGCTTTTGATCGGACGTGCTATTTCACCAGTCGCTGCACCCCGTCTTTCGAACCTGGCAGCCTTTCACCATGTGACTCCTACACCCTCAAACTTAGCCTCGATTAAAAATTCTTCTTTTCAGCCTCCGCACACCCGTCAAAGCCCTGCGATTCTTGAAAGTTCTCCACCCCCGGTTTTGGAAGACACTTCAAAAGTTCCTTTATTTCGACTTTCTTCACCATTGGAAAGCGAGGGACGAACCGACGAACAAGTCCAATATCCACATGATGATGAGATACCCACTGGAAAACAAGGACAAGCGGGAGATGATCATACGAGATTGAACAAGGTAGTAGGAGCTGCTGGAAATGAATCAGACCGCCAGTTTTCTCTTGCACCCAAATTTTCACGTGGTGGAAACCAGCGGTCCGAAAACGCTCAGACAGATCGGGGCAATGATATTCATTCAGATGATAGCTCTGTAGACTGGGGTGTAGTCGAGCCCAACAATTTTGATGGTAACGTGGTGGCGGAGCAGATGAAGAAGGCAGCAAAAGATATGGAGAGATTCATGGCAAGCAAAATGTTGGAAATTGCTGCTTTGATCCCAGCCGGTCATAACTTTAATAATTTCATCGCTATGCGTAGAGCAATACAAGATAAGTGGAAAGGATATAAGGAAACAGTGAATGAGGCTGTCAAGCCTTTACAAAAATTATAAATTAATGTTGTTTTTTCTATTTACTTGCTTTGACAAAAAATCGTGCTTAGAAAAAAATAAATTCTGTTTTTCTTTCTATTTACTTGCTTTGACGAAAAAGGTTGCTTACAACATTACAAATTGTATTTTTCTTTCTATTTACTTGCTTTGACAAATCTATTTACTTGCTTTGACAAAAAAACTTGGTGGCCCGTATATTTCTATCTTTGTTCCGTCTCGAAATCAAGTTCCTGGATTTTGAAGATGGATGTAAGATATAAAAGTTTGATGTTGAATTTCAAAGTGTCTGTACAGTTAGCCCTTCTTTGAGGATTCAAACTTCAAGTTCAAGTTCAAGGAGCTTTGAGCTTCAAGCTTCGAGTTCAAATCTAAATCTTTCGATATTCGAAATTTCGATTTGAAAGATCACTTCGATACCTCGGTTAATTGTAGATTGAAACCCAAGTCAGTTGAAGAGGATCAAGAATAGCTTTGACTCACGCCTGTATCACCGCCCGCACCGGGCAATATGCTGCGTTTGACCGCAATTCTACAGCGCTAAATCCAATCGTTTCAAGGATGGGCGTTAGAAGGTGGTTCGAAGTGACTACCATAACTCATGAAGGCTCATTTAGAGCCCACATTAAGTGTGTTTATCTCCTCCGACACACAGTCTTCAAAATTCCCTCTGAGATCCATATCTGAATGACAATGAAGAGAAAATCTTGAGATGCTTAGATTTACGATTGCAGAATGATTTTCTCAGCATGTAAAAATGATAGAATACATGTATGACCCTATTGAGAGACTGTGATAGGCAGAAACAGAACAAGTGAAACGTGAACCTTCAAGTGTAAAAGATATTACGACACCGGTGGCTGAAGATCTCCCGAAACAAAATAGCCTCAAGTATATCTTGAAGTCATCCAATTTTATCATTTTCTTTGGCTATTTTACTCACTTGAAATTGCTGAGTGGGAAGAACCTCTCATGATTGATTTTTGTTAACGATACCTATTGAAAATCGCCATGACTTCACCGTCACGTTATGAGGACTCAGATTCTGAATGAGTACTTTCAAGTTCTTCAAGTATGAAAAACAGGTTCTTTTGTACTAAACTCTAATTATCATAGAAAAATTTATGTGTTCTAGAAGTCACAGCCGACATCAAGATTCCAAAACGAGTACGAGAGAAAGAAGACATGAATGAAAATTAATCAAGTTTGTACAAGGAAGACTTATATATCCTTTCCAACAATTGGCCTCCCGTGTATCCTCACCCGATAAATGCACGTAAATCCAGAGTGCCCATAGTTTGAGGTGATTTTGAAAAGTACTTTACTGTAAACCAAAGGATGTGTTCTTGGTATTTCAAAAGTCTGTAAGGGTGAGCTGGGGCTAGAGATTCTGTATACTCCTCTGAACAAAAGAGTCCCGTCCGCTGATTGATTGTGATTGTCATCGAGTCCCCAAAGTTCGAAATCTCTAGGTGCCGCGGTGATGTCATTTTGCGCTAATTGCGCTCCAATGTGTTCAATTGACAAGGACGTGATGTCAATGGTTCGACTGAGGCCTATCCCTAGCTGTCCGACTGGTCCTTCCAAAGGCCAACAGTTTCCGGCTGAACCATCACCTTTCAGTGCAATTTCTGGTAAACTCGCCTGTAAGTTGGATCCACGTAATGCTATCCACCAAGAGAGACGCCGTCTCCAAGTTGTAGAGGGAACAAAGGAGGGTGAAGTCAAGGATTGAATCACATATCCTCCAGTTTTTAGAAAAGCAAAGTCTCTTTGCCCATCCCGATCCTTGATGCATTGCTTGAATGCCTCACGTGCCATGTAGCTCGTTTCCATGTCCAGATTGCCCGACGAAGAGCAATCCTCTGTAATTCTACCCAGCTGATTGTTGTCCTCGGTTCGTAATTCATTTTCCTGCGTGATTGTTTGTATTTCTTTACCAACAATGTTCATGCTGGTTTCAATGTCATCTATTTCTGTGTACACACGAACGTGACCTGTTGCTACTGCCACTGCTCCTCGAACATCGAGGTTAGGGATTCGAAGTTCCGCCACGGAAGCCGAGTCGCCGGTGCAAGTTTGGCAGTTCAGATGTACTCGCATGTACTGGAGGTCACCTTCGGCTTTTTTCAAACGTCGATCAAGAAGGTGTATTCGTCCGCATGTAGCTATATGAGAGGTTGAATCAGCCTTCAAGATATAGAACGAGTTTAAACATGCACGAACTCATTGCAAGGAATATCAATAACCAAATATGCATTGCAGGGGCATGTCGTGAAAGTTCAGTGATAGCTTTTCTAGCTCGTAGTCCAGCGCTACGACCGAAGCTGAGTGGTACACCCTCGCTTGACTGGCAGACCTCAAGATTTGGCATCATGGGTGATGTCTTGTATCGAAAAAAATTGTGGGCTTTGTATGAGGTCAAAGGCTTATAGCTTGTGAAGATTTGTTTTTGTCAACCACTGCTTCAATGAAGAGAGAAAATAGATATCAGAATGAATCGAGTGCAAGCCGTGAGTTGAGAGTGATTCATTTAACCATCGAGTTCATAGATATTTATACTGACAACTGACATCACAGATGCACTACGTTCATGAGTCCCATTCCCCGGACTGAGCCTGGATAGCTGATGATGAAATGTCTTGCACTTCAAATGCCAAACGTGGAATACGCAAGCACATCCAACATAGGCGCCTTTGTGCGAACTCATCTCAGCCGAAAGACAGTACGTACAATAGCGCAAGTTGGGAGATGAGACTGATTCTTTGAGTAATCTTTTTCCGAAGTTCCTGCTGACCTAAGTACCTGACCTGAGCTGCGCAGTGGAGTGTTGGACTCAAGAATCAAGGATGAACGTTCACATATCTGAACGGTTTCTGACTCGTTGTTGAGCTGATGGACTCAAATAATACTCGACTATTCGAGGCAGGAAGACTCAGAATCGTGGTCTGTTGTTCAGTGTTGTAATCTCAACTTTTCGACTCGTGGCTCAGATCAAGCCTTCAAACCCGGAAGTTCAAATTCAAATCTGAACCGAGTCTGAGTTGTTGAGCCGATGGACTCAATACCTCCATAAAGGTGGCCTGGGCTGAACTCAATCGAACGCACTTGGTTCACAAAGTTCGAACTATCCCCATCCATCGCAAGATTAGCCAGCCATCAACCTCGCATACACTGACGCTTCACTGTTTTGATTGTCAACAATCTATATCACGCCCAATTTCTTCGAAATGAGTGTTTCTTCCGGTAGGGAGACATCCTGCAATCATGTACTACAAATTGAATCAAAAGAGGCAGTCGCTTCATCCCGCCACAAGAGATCATATGGGGGCGTACTAGAAGTCAAATCAAGCGATGTGTCAGCGCAGGATTTTCACTCAATCAAATGCCGCAAAGTGGGGACTATGGTGGGTTCATCATATAATTGAAATCTGGACTTCCTTGAGATGACTAAGTCTCCTATCTCTTCAACACTTCTATTAACAAGTCTCATCGAACACCACCTGATTCAAGGTTGGATGATCAACAATTTATCGATCACCTCATGAATAACGCTGGATTAGCCGACTCAACAGGAAGATACGCAGACGCTGTAGCATTATATCTGCAACTCCTGGATTTGTACTCCGCCAACATGATAAAATGTGAAAGCAAAAACGGTCTGACCAACAGAGGTCCTCATTCAGGGTGGATTCTGTCTTGTTTCAATCTAACCCGGTGTTACTTGAAGTTAAATCATCCGCAAGCGGCCTCCGATATCCTTCAACAAGCCTGGAACCCAGAATCAAGTCGAGCCATACCTGCGACACATCCAAAGTATCTGGAACTATCCCATTTGTACTTCGAGATTGAGGATAGGTTACAAAATTCTTCTACTACTGATAAATACGTGCGTCAATACCTGCTATGAAAAAATCTCACTGAAACAGATGACTGACAAGAACAATGCTTTTCACTTTCACCAGAAGTTTACACCAGAAAGCTGTCAAGACGAATTCACCATCAATGATATTTTGGATCTAGTATATATGTATGCTCAAGATTTTCTGTCTCGAGAGCAATCACAAGATGCCATCTTGCTTTTGGAGGGGGAGATAAGTCGCATCACAAAAGAAAACAAACCATATGATTCAAAATTGAAAGAAAGGATCGTCAAAATCCATCTACTTCTTGCCGAGGTGTATTTGCATGTTGGCCAACTGCATCAGGGAGAAGAGATTTTAAAGCGAATATGGAATGCTGAAAGCCGTTTCTATATCAATCATCTATCAAAATTATCTTTGGATGGCACAGCTTTATAGGCAAACCAGTAACAAAGAAAAGTGTGACACCACGTTTTGCAGACATCGAGCCCAGAAACGAAGGGAACCAACTCTGTACGAAGTGAGTTTGGACGCGGATATGATTATCCGCCAAAAAAGAGCTAATTAAAATCTTGACTCCTTTAACCAGTGGCTTGCTCTGACCCCGATGGCTATGCCTGCCAAGATCAAGAGTCACTGGAAGTCTTGCATGTTGTATTTTCATCCAGATAAGGGTGGACATACTGGCGTAGCACAACAGGTAAGCTAGAATACAACCTTACATGCATCATATCTTGAATCTCATAATATTCCCTTTATTTCAGATAACGGCGGCTGCTACAGTGTTACTTGATCCAGAGAGTCGTCGCCGATACGATTTAAAGATTAATGCTTGACGAGTCTTACAATGAGAACAGATCAGGACTGTACCCATGAGTTTCATATGCTTATGTCGCCGGACTTGGTATTGATTGTGTGTGTTGGTCTATGTTTGTATAGAGTTGATTGATTGTACGTGGGTCTATGCGCTTAGAGAGTCAAATGATGGGTGAATGATGTGGGGCACAGGCTAGCGTTTTTCATATGCTATGCAATAATGTGGTCATGATAGGCCAGTCCGGTGTTGATTATTTTGTTGAATAAGATTTCAAAGTGATCCACTTTTATCTTACTGTCACCTGCTTACTGTTGTAGATGAAGAAAACATGGGAGTGGGATGTTCGAGTCTATCAAATTTGATTTGCTAACTGAATCATTGACATTGACGCTGGCACACCTATGCTTCCCGTAGCACGCACCGTAGCACAGCGGGTCCATGCTACGTGATAGGACAAGTATAGAGTGAGGGATCTCTGACACTTTTCATCTCAACATGTGGCCACTGCCCTAGCTTAGAGTCCGTTCACCTTGAGAACAGAAGAATGGGGGCCTGTATAAACATGGCTTATTGAAAAACATTTGAAAATGAAGAATGAAAGATCTCATACAAAGAGATGACAATTTAGACAACAGGTATAAGAGGAAGTTAAATGAGCTGTGATTCTGAACTGGAATTTGATGTGTATTCCGAGAGCTATAAGTTACGGATTTTCTGAACTAAGTAGTAAATCGGTGTACACCTTCAAGGGTTGGGGTAGGCAAGATCAGGAGAGGAGTTTTAGACTTGATAGCAGCTGCCTCGGAAAGCTGGTTGAAGCGAGCAATGACCTGGCTCATTGCGCAAAACTCGTCTTCGATTGCTAGCTCACGACACGCCACATGATTGCCAATAATTTCAGCCTGAAAATTTAATATCATTAGCAATTTATCTAGCCTTTAGTCAATATATAGATACACTTACTCGAAAATGTTTCGCATTGCCCTCAAAGGTTACAAGAGTTGCACGGAGGTCTTCGAGCTTCGTCGCAATAGACCTTAATGTCGATGCGCTTGCCGAGGTCATCGCGATATTCCTATTAAGCGATTGACTATCCCAACTTCCGAAGTTCATTAAACGTTTCCAAATTGGAATGCCAGCCTTGAACTTTTGTAGCTGCATGTTTTCCTCTGCAAATTGAGCACCGACACTCGCAGCGAAATCCGAGCCTCTCTTGGCCAGGGGGATGGCATCATCTATCTGAGCTTGCAGGCCAGAAAACCTTCCGATATTGTTTGGACCAGATCACCAAACCTGTCATATGCTGATGTAGTTGAGTACTTATCTTCCCCATCGGCGATGGAAGTCAGTACTAGTCGGATCACTTCGAGCTTGGGTTTCACAAATTGGATATCAGTTCTTGGCTGGTCTGCCGTCGAATCGTATCAATTCTTCAAGAAGAACAGATGCTCTCACCTTCTGAAAGACCTTTCGCAAAAATGAGATACTTGCACTATTCAACAGATTCACCTTGTCCCTCACATCTCTGGTCGTCTCACCAAGGTTTTGAATACATTCGGCAAGGTAGTCTTTCTTCTCTAGTATGTCTGATGCAGCGATGGCCTGAGCGAGCTCTAGTATTTCATCTTGGTAAAGGCGGACATGATTAGGATTTCCAAGGTCAAGAATCGACTCGAAGATATCACCAGCGGACCGTGCAGTCGATGTGACAGTATTTGATAGTGAAGCCACCTTTCTTGAATGACTATGGCCTTTGGGTCCACAGAAATAAGGCCCACCAATATAGGTACAGTACCAGTACGAGGCTGTCGGAACGCGAATACTGAAACTCCCGATGAGGTACTGGTGAAGAGTTTTGGGGATAGCTGGAATCGTTACCACTAACAAAGCCAATGCAACCCATCCAAGAAGGTGTCTTGACATGGCTAATGGATTCATTGACCTGAAGGCGTAGAGGGAAATTTGGAGTATGTGAGCAATATGTCGATCAGCTCAATATCAGCACGGAGTCCTGGCCTCACAAAACACGCACGCGTAAGATATTTTGTGTCCAAAGGGTTTGAAGGCTTGACAAATCGAAAAGTTGAGATTACAACGCTGAACAACAGACCACGATTCTGAGTCTCGATCAGCTCAATATCAGCACGGAGTCCTGGCCTCACAAAACATGCACGTGTAAGATATTTTGTGGTTTGAAGGCTTGATCTGAGCTACGAGTCGAAAAGTTGAGATTACAACGCTGAACAACAGACCACAATTCTGAGTCTTCCTGCCTCGAATAGTCGAGTATTATTCCGCGTGTCCTTTGTCGGTCAAAATTTCTCTACATCAAAGGGGGTATACGTTGGAGCGATGCATTCAAGATCAAAGGGGTCTATCATGAAAGTTTGAGAATTTTCGGGAACTCAGGTTTACGTTCGTACCTTGACGTAATCAAGTAGACAAGATACGCGCTGAAGCAGTTCAAGTTGACGTCTAAACGAGTGTGTCTGAGTGAGAAGTAAATAGAATGTGAATTTCGCGTCCTCAACAAACCTACGCAGCTGAGTTTCAGTTAAGGCTCAGACATTTCTGGAGTTGCTGCTGGTTGATCCTCTTCGAGATGTGACATCCGCTCATCATGTTTGATTCGTGCAAACGGCTCATGACACAATAGCCACGAGTATGAGGCTCAGTGGCTATTGCTTGAAGACTGCGTATAATGGCGGACCTCCTTGAGCAAAGACATAGCCTGATGATGTAGCCTAACCCACCGTATTTATTAGAGGGCTCCCCCTAGCTTCTGCAGATTCAAAGTGCATAGAACTCCTACATAGAAAGATCCATCTATTTCTTCACAATAACCCTCCTCATCGTAAATTGAACTGCCATGGCTATGACATCTAGTTATGATACATCTTCACCGAATCTGAACCCCAACTGGCTGGCGTCCAGCATGGAAATATCCCCCGATGCAAAACTGAATGATGAAAACCTGAACGCGCCCGAATCGACTTCTCTACCGGACCACAACGCCGAGCGTAATCAGCGTCACAGTTTTCAGATACGGTATATAGCACTATCTTCTATAGTGCTAATCCTGGCTTGGTATTTATTTCAGGGGTAAATTGTCCCACACTTCTTTTTGTTATCATTGAATATTGCTCACTCGTGCAAATATGATATCTCGCGGTTTCCTAGAAGCTCATCAGCTATAAACGTTGACCAGCTACAAGAGGCGACAGATCAAATAAAGTCAGGTCGTGCATTGGGAGAACTTCGCAAGATTCAACACACCCCGATCACATTCATCCAATCAATGAAGTCTCTCAGTGATGATGTTACATCGAAACCCATCGACGTACTTTCTCTAAGAGAGCAATTGGGTGTCTTGAAGACTTCCATGGACTATTCGGAGTCTTCAGCTGCCGTGAAGCTACTGGTAAAAGTTTCCGATAATATAGATTTGGTCTCCAATATGATGCGCCAGCTCAATGGGAAAGGTCAAATGGAGCTTGATATCTTCATGCGAGAGGTGAGTAAGGTGACCAACCAATGATACAGCAGACTGCCAATCACTGAAATCATGCTATACAGTTTGTCTTATGGTTCAATCGAGAGGAAGCTGCTCGGGACATGCACACCGCAAAAAGGGTCCTTGACCGTCATCGCGATTTCTTAACGCTCCTTACAAGGTCAATTGCGACTATACTTGATACCATCCAGCTCACAAACAAAGCCAATGAGGATGCAAGATACCAACTTCATATGTTGGAAAGGAGAATGATAGAGAGCTCTAAATTCAGCCATATCACTAAGGTGTTTGGGTCCACCGGCGGTAGGGCCTCGAACGAACTTCTACAATCAATCACGGGAATTCTGAATCACACACATGAGATCTCAACGTATTTGGATGACAAAAGGCCTCTTTTAAAGCTCTATCAAGATAACATCAATTCGTGGCTCGTGAGTACCCACTGGTATCGTTTTACACTTCCGACACTGATCATAAATCATTGGGGGTAATTACTATTCAGGGTTCGATAGTCGATCGCATGAAAAGCTCCAAGAACTCCCATGAAGTTGACATGCAGAGTCTGATACTGCTGGATGCCATACGCAGTCATGTCACGAGCATCTCACCAGGTCCATCATCTGAGCAGATCTCACTAGGTAGGGTCCTTACTGACCAGTGAGGCATACATATGGTCCGATTTTGTGGCTGAAAACAAACAGCAATGAGAGTACTGTTGTTACCTCTGCTTGAGAATTGTGCTCTTGTATCTTTGAGAGATTTTATTTGTCGGAAGGCATCCTTCATTAGATGGCACGAATATACAAGCTGCAATACTGAACCATAGATTTCGCCTCCTCTTTGAACGTTGAGATTTTTCAAGCCGTGAGCTCTGACTTCTTAGTTCGAAGGTCATTTGAAGTTCGAAAGTCAAGCTGAGTCAAATATGATAAGCTTTGAAGTTCGAGCTCACCATCTGAAGCTCGAAAGGTAAGCTGAGTTGAATGTGATAAGCTTGGAAGTTCGAACTCGCCATTTGAAGTTCGAAAGCCAATCTGAGTCTAATAGGATGAATCTGGGACTTAGCCATCCTTTTAGGATGCTTATATGACTCTACAGAAGCACATACATGAGGAAAACTCTTCGTACTTGACTAGGGAAATATGAAGGTCCATCGAATTCCACTTCAGCTTGATTATCGACAGTCATACTACGGATGTTGACTTCCAGAGCTCCCAGCTCAAAGCTCCACGCGGATGCGTGAACGGACATGTCCAAATGTCAATTATACACAAGCTCACTGAGTGCGTAAAGGTGCGTATTAACGCTCAACACGCTCGTGGCGTGATGCTCTCAGTCATTGTCACACGCCTCACACACCAAGTCCTACACATCCAGCACTCTATGCGAAGTGATGAATACATGCATAGCTCAGCTGTGAGCAAATTGTTGATCCATTCAAATGAGCAAATGAGAAAATGATTAGAAACAAGACAAAAGAACATTTTAATGAGAATGAGCACGCTCATCACATCCTCACAAAGGAAACCCCCATAAACAACTGTTTTGCTGGGTGCTCAAGCATCATAAAGGAATAAGAACTACATGATACTACGCATTCATTAACGCCTGCAGCAGAAACGAGAAGATTTAGGAAACAATCGAGAGCTGTTCAGCATGTGTAAGACATGGGTGGCCGAATCTATGATGTGCGTACAAAGATTTCATAGAAAGGAGGGAGTCAGTGTGGTTGAAATGAATATCACGGTCAGATTGGCTTGATATGTAGTCAGCAGACTTACTTTGATTGATTCGAGTCATGTCAAGTATCTCGAGGGGTGGTTGAATGATGGTCTTTTTCGGTGTCTTGCGCTTCAGAATTGCTTGAAGAATCGCTGAGTTGATTTTGGGCGAGCAAGTCCCTAAAAGATGGTAGTCAGAATCAGCATATGTATGGAATTTTATTATCAATGTATAACTTACTTATGATGTTCGGCCAAAGCTGAAATCAATCCGAGATCTTGTAAGCTCGTTGTAAATAAGATCTGACGATTTCGCAAGGTAGTGAGATCGATCTGGAGGCGATCGTAGAACACTTTGTCTTGGTTTGAGTAGGAGGGAACGCCAAATGTACCGTCGCGCAATTGAAGGTGGAGCCTCTCGACCTTCTTATGAATTTCGGTAAGATAGCTAAGATGATCGTCAAGGCTCTCTTGAGCTTCTTCTTGAGCAAAGTGGACTGAATCGAGCTCATGTTGAGTTAAGAACTTGTAAGTTTTGATAAATTTGTCTAAACCTTCGACTGCCTGACGATATTGGCTGTTCTTGAGGTGAGGAAGACAATAAATATCGAACAGACGTTTCCTCTCGTGGTCGAGGTCGAGGTCAGCTGCCGAGTCCACGCATCTGGGATCTTGGCGAGGCCCAAAGGTTTCTCTGATGAGTGGAGCCTTGATGTACTTGATGTTGGTTGGAGAAGGGAGTTGTAGGTTTCTAAGGCGCGGGGCGACCATTTCGACAAAGATCATACGTAGAAGCTCGTGATCTTCTTGAGCGTTTTGAGTGAATTTAAAATGAGGGAAAAATGCAAGGATGACTTCTAAGAGTTTTTTAGGCGTAGCTTTACTTAAGAAGCTTTCGGGATCAATCCTGGGAGTATTACTATGCCCATCAATAACACTTTCAAGGATATATTCGGGTAAGAAGACACTGGAGTGGACGTAGGATCCGTAAGACATGATGAGGATGGTAAGATATTTTGGAAAGAAGGAAAAATACGGCCAATGGCTCGTCTTATATGCCCGTCTGAAGGTCATTCGACCCAAGTTTTTGGAACTTTGGACATCATTTGATCATTTGGTGGGTTGATCATCCTAACTGTTCTTTTTTTTTCAGCTGTCTACTTCGAATTTACTACCCATATATCTGGCTGAGATCTACACTAAAGGGTCTAATGGGTGACTACATAAGAAGGGTTGTGCATTGAACACGTTATAGGGAAAGAGACATAAATTACTTGCCGTCCCTCCCGCTGTACCTCCTCCTACCCACTCGTATTGAGGAGAAGGACTTATGAAAATACATAAGACATGTTTGCAAAACTTCACATTAGAATATAAGAAACTTCGGAAGAATGAAGATGAGATATATCCAGGTAATTGCGGAATCATTAAGAGATCTACAAGTTCTTGCCAATTGAGTCTGATGGCATCCAAGGTAAGACAAGTTAGGTACAGACGAAAAGGTGAGGAAAGTTCTCCAAACAATCGGGATTATGGCAGTCGCAGGGTAGACCGGAAGGTCCCTTTGACTGTGTGATGGGAGGGTCAAGTGAACCTCGAACCCTCGCACGAGGTTTAGCAAGCACCGTGGTGGTATTTCGGACCATCTTCTTCTTTCGCGGACAGAAGTGCCTCCGAGCTAGCATTCCACCATTCTAATTTCTTGAAATATCATAAGCTTTGAAGTTCGAACTCACCATCTGAAGTTCGAAAGGTAAGCGGAGTTGAATATGATAGGCTTTGAAGTTCGAACTCACCATTTGAAGTTCAAATGTCAAGCTGGGTCAAATAAGATAGATTTGAGACCTATCGTCGAGAATCATAGCTAGGCTTTTTAGGATCCTTGGGGAAAGACATAAATGGGCAAAACTCTTCCTACTTACCTACTCGCATGTGGAATATGAAGGTCCGTCCAATCCCACTTCAGCTTGACTGTCGCCACTTCAAAGCTCAACACGCGTGTGGGCTGTGAACAGTGACACATGTACTGCTCACTGAGTGCGTAAAGCTCCACGCGGTCGTGACGTGACGCTTCAACTTCTAAATCATCGTAACGCGCCTCACAGCGCCGTTACACGCCAAGTCCTACTAATTCATCGCTGTATGTGAAATGATGAATACGTAAACACATACATATGTATCATGTCCACAGATCTCACCGAGTACTTGAATCGTATCGGATGTGGGATGGGACAGTGGACCTCAGTGGACTCATGCGACGGACATGGGCGTATGTATAAATGTGGCGGACGTGTGGTCTCAAAATCACCTTGATACTTCCTGATGCTTCTTTATCGCCAATTTTTTTGGACAACTTATACTTTCTAACCCAATCCCTTGATTGTGATTGCGATACCTCTTTTTCATCAGAGATTCTTAGCTACCTTGAGACTTTCATCTGGATATCTGTAATTTGTCTCACTCTAAAAAACTTCCCTTGTCTGCTTTGGACCCTAAGATCATCGCGACGCAGAACTCAGAAGCTAGAAGGGAGGATTTTAACTTTGTGCAACATTACCAGTCATATCAGTTGATCGTTTGTAAAGGTTGTGGCCATGCCCAAGCACTAATCTCCTGCCACTCTCAAATCCCGCCTTCTCTGTTGATATACAATATATCTGCAGGAAGGATAATGTATTCAAGATTGGGATTATGTATTGATAGAATCATACAGAACTATAGTCCAACCAAATTACGTTGATCAACAACAAAGGGGGTTGTTGTCTATAGCCCGCATAAAACCCAAAAGCTCAAGTCCCTTTTAGGTTTTTTCAAGCAACAAAAGTTGGGTGATGTCGCTTTAACTCGTACAACCACCATCTCAACCCAGATAACTGGTCATCCTCAACCTCGAAGTTCGATCAATCCAACGACACTTCAATCCTCACTTGAATTACTGGCCTATCAGTCTCAAACCGTATCAACATCAATTCTTACCAGACTCATGTCGACTCGTAAAGGGGGAACCAATGTAGCTTACGAGTGTCCCCATCTTCCTACGTGTTATGATCCCAGTAGCAAAGGCAAACCTTGCCAAGATTGCAATGGTTTGAACCTGACCGGTGTTCGCAACCATACTCTCACCACCAGGCAACATGCGTTTTGTGCCCCTGGGTGCCCGGTCTATAAATGTAAGTTCTTGTAAAAATTTACTTCGTATCCTCATCAAGACTGATGATTCCGATTGCTTGTAGTGACCGATCTGAGTCAAATCGAATTCAAGAGGAAGAAATGTTCGACAACAACCGATTTGCCCGGTTCATCCAATGTCACTCAAACTCGTACTTCTTCAACCGAGCGATCTCCTTCACCCTCTCTTCGCACAGGAAAGACTCCACGAATTCGACAAAGAGAAGGCACACATGAGGGAGCAGTATCTACCAACCAGGGCGTCAGCGGCGAGCCAAGTTTTCGACGAAACAGTGTTCGGAGCACCTCTGCATGCAATCCTGTACAGGATAAATTCTCTGGAATGAGCATCAATCCGGAAAAGTTTACCCTTCAAGAACCTCATCATTCCTCTCCGAAAGCCTCTTCCTTTACTCGAGAAACAAATCGAAATTCCAGCAATGTGCCCGGAAATTCTAGATCGAAAAACTTAATCGGGGACATGTCAACTGCCTTTGCTGGTCCTCATCATACCCAATTGGAAAGTATCTCGGCTCCAAACCCAGGTGTGGCCAACCAGCTCCATGCGTTGATCAATTCTCAAAGCTCGCAAGAGGCAGAACCGTTGATGTGCGACTTCCTTATTTTAGATCCTGCCGCCCCGGCAACGAATATCTGTCATGAGAAACCTTTCCACTTTGATTGGAAGTTTGGGGCACTCTTGGTGGTATCCTCGGTACATTTCTTCTGGTTCATCCGGGCATGGTGGGATGAATATGCTCATGCATATTAAGTCTCATCTAGAGTCCTTATGAAATATATTGAATCGCTTGAATAGGATACGCACTCATGTTTACCCTGAAATGCTCATGCTACATACTCTTTCATTATGGTCTCAAGAGCAACCCTTTCATATTTTTTGGAGCTAAAGAATTGTTTTGTGATACATGTATTTCTTGAGGATGTCCAGTCGTAGGTCTGATAAGCCTTCAAATGTGTCTATGGACCCAGGGGGTGTACTTGCTTTTTTTGAAGAACTCTCGTTGTTTGTGTTACCCCTGATCGCTCCCCTCATACAAAAGTATCATGCGATCTGCTCCTCATTTCTTTTGGTGTTTTTCTGAATTCTGATGTGGGCTCTTCCAGTCACTTTTTGTGTTCATCAACTTGCAGCCCTGCACAAGTCAAAATATCCAGTCATGTAATTGGATGAAAACTCATGCATGTCTCAATTATACAATTTAACTCAAGATACCCGTCCCGTGAAGAGATGGACTGGAAAAGGAAGTGTCTTAGAGGTCAGGGTTATATAGATACTACTTCAAGGATGTGAAGGTCGTAATGTTAATCTGATCAATTCCTCAGTCGCAAGCGTTTGGTTCAAAAGTGTAATGTTGATCGGATCACTACCTCAGTCGAAAGCGTTTGATTCGAACCCAGGACGTGAGTGTCTAGGAGGTGACTGTTGAGTGTTCAAAGGAAGCTGACCTGAACACAAACGTAATGATGAGCTTCCATCCAAAATTAACGGGAGTCCTGTGTTCTGTGACTGAGTGCTGAGCCAGGTGTGCTGAGCGGGGTGTAGTTGTCAATGGGGCTTACTCTGAGGTGTTAGCAGGCCGGATTCAGCACGTGGCTTGAATGAATGGCATACTACGCGTGTTTTGGTCAATGACGCGTTCTCGGGTACGTTATCAATGGCAATACTAACATGTGGCGTTAAGCAGAGAGCATCTTACGAATATCTTTGGGGACAAAGGGCTCAAGGTGAGTCTTCTTTTGCTACCTTTGCAAAACAAAGAGATTCGAAAACCAGATGGGTGACACGGTTATAAATTGCTATGATCTCAACTTAGGAGCTGGCACTCACCCATTCACGATATTCGATCTCACCTATCAAAACAAATTATCTACTCACCTCAAATATATACCGGTTATCTTTGACATCACTCGTCCACATTCTCACCTAGTCATCGCTTCGAAGAATATTTCTCTAATAGTCGAATTCATCCTTAATCTAGCTATCTCATCTTCATCTTACTAGCCATGATCATTTCTGGAAACATATCAATCACAGGGAATATTACTTCACCTTCAAGACCTATACGTAGACGCTCAGCTCCTATCCGAGCATGTAGAATGGCTGTACCTTCTCATAACCATCAAACCGCCGAGCAGTCCGTCCGTCCACGCCCCACGAAGACCCTCTGTTCTGGAAGAAAATCTTTAGCGTACCGACGGAATTGATTGAAATCCTCTCACCCAACGTTAAACTTCAAGCTCGATCAGTGACGAAGGGTGCCCTTCAAGAACTAATCCACCACTTCGTACCGAGTCACCGCGTACCCCGCAATATTCTCAAAGCCAAGTTGATCCGTGTATTCAGAACACAAGTGCTACGTAAATATGGCCCATTTCATGGTCTTTGAGAGAATCAGAAGATATTCAATGTCAGTAATCCAGACCAGCTTGTAAAAAGGAAATGTCGACAAAACTAACCAAATACCTCATGTTTACACTTCCCTGGGCTTCATCGGTTTAGGAAGTAGGTCGATTTTCCGAGTTCATGCGTAAAGGTTCGAAACGGTCATTTGTCCCATGTGCAGATCGATTCGAAGCGGTCTAGCCTATGCTTTCTATGATGTTTCAACACCTTCTCACCTATCCTTCACGATCTCTTATTCGTTGTGTATGTCAAGATATGAAATGGTTTCTTTATTGATGGGTTTCCGGAGATACTATGATGTCAAACTTTCAAACTGGATGTATGTATCTATGCCTGTTATCTCTTGTGTATCTCTGGGCGACGCTGGGAGTTATTGATGGGTTTCCGGAGATACTATGATGTCAAACTTTCAAACTGGATGTATGTATCTATGCCTGTTATTTCTTGTGTATTTCTGGGCGACGCTGGGAGTTGCTCTTTCTATTGTATCATGTGGGTTATCTGGAGGCTGGATAGGGCCGTATTTTTCTGGAGTATGTACAAGGTTAAGTCTGTGCCGTACGGACAAAGAGTTACCCACCAAGAAGACAATGACTCCGGTAATGTGTTGTGGACGCAGCCATATCCAGTTTTAAGCGTAAGATTTGGAACATGCTGAGTGGTGTGAAAAACTCTCCACATCACCCTGACTACATGGAAGCACTTAATCCCAAGAGTGGCTATGTGCTGAGTCTCCAAGGGCAAGTTCGAACTTCAAAGTCAAGTTCGAACTTCGAAGCTTTATATGTTAAGGTCTCTTGAGGCTCGAAGCCCAGACCTCTGACACTCGAGCTTGAGATTCGAAGTTCGAAGTTCGAAGAGCTCAGATTCGAAGTTCAAAGAGCTCAAGACCAAGTTCAAATGGGCCTTGTACAGAAAAGCCCACACTTTTTGTTTTTCGTGTCAAAGAAATAAGCAAGACAGAAAATTTTTCTGCAATTTTTGTGTCGATTCGAGACCAAATCGGTCCTACGCCGATTGCATCGGCTGCTTTTGGAATGCGTCGCTAAGATGCAACCAAAGTTGCCTCGCCAGCGAGATTGAATCGGGCATTCAGGGGATTGAATCGCGATTCAAACACCGACATGAAATCGAAAAAATGATTGAATCGGGACAAAAGGCCCGACATTTAGTTGCTCAGAGGGGATGCGATGCGATGATTGTATCGCACATTTGTTTTAGTCGGATGAGCGCTATACGAGTAGCCATCGGACCTGATCAGACTGAGGTTCAGTCGGCGGCCACCAATGCGGTTTGGGATCGGCGCTCAGTTTCATCGGTTGTGCCAAAGCGATCCTCAATTGGACTGCGGATCCCATCGGACAGTGAAGATGTGATTACACATCGCACAACAATTCTATCGCACAATTTGGCCCCGACCCTGCTTCGGAACACCGTCCACGATGTGACATCGGAAGGGGCATTCCGACGTGAATTTCTTGGCGGTGTTTCATAAGGATTGAGCAATGAAAATGAAAGAAGAACTAATCCTTCAAGGATCTGGACACCTTGTTTCAATAAGTTGGACATTGACAAAAATGCAGTGAATTTTCAATCTCTAGCCGGGCATCCAGCAAAATGTATCTCAATTGGTGAATTCCAGTAAGGGTACGCTACATGTATGAGCTGAAAGAGATGAAGTGCCTTCAATTTCTAGGAAGACCAGCAGTTCTAAAGAGAAAGAACACAGAAAAGAAGGATCCCTGCGATAAAATTGTCAAATAAAATGCATCACTCAAATGATGTAAGTTGTAAGGGCTTCATTAATGTCTCAATTTTAGAGCTCATCAGAGTCATCATACTTGAACAAGTCTAACTCTTTTTTCTTTCCTCCGCTGAAGTTGGTGATGAAAGATCGGTGATGATAACGTGATGGAGAATGAGATGATGTGGCCAAACGGGGTTGGCCAGGGTCGGCACTAGATCAGCGGACCTCTTCTTGGGGTCTGGAAGGGCATTTTTGTCATTTTTGACAATGTGACTCAAGTGGCACTTTAGAGCCACTGTACCTAGTCCCAACCACACGCACGCCCACAAAACTTGAAATTTGCCGACCCAAGCCATCTCATTTGCCCGGAGGGGTTAGCAAGGGCTGAAAATTCATGGCATTATTGAAGGGGGTTGATGCCGTAGATAGACTTTTCAAGTTGATGTGGCCAGTGGTTTTTGTTTCAACAACTGTTTTTTAAGTTTATTCCCATATATTTTGGACCCATGGGTTTATAGTGGACTGTATGGGTTAGCAGTATGGCTATAGGCTGTACTTATGGGTTATAATTATGGCTTTAGGCTATACTTATGGGTCAGAAGTATGGCTTTAAGGAGTGATTATGGCTCTTGGGAGGCTCAATTTTGGCCGATTATGACAAAAACAACACCTCACATAGCTATTCACATCCCTCAACATTTCGGACCGGGGCCGGTTCCAGGGCTGCCACGGATAATTTTGTGGTTGGAGCTCAAAACCTTGTGAAATTGTCCAGACCATTCCAAAGCTTCTTGAATTCTGATCGTGACACTCATTGCTATCAAGTGTGGCTCATTGAAGTTCTTTCATATGGCTTTCCAAATCTATCAACTCACACAATCAATCTTCACGATCTTATTCAACTTGCAACTCAACCTATCTCATTCATTTACTTTCCATTTGAGTCACTTTAAGATAACTTATTGTTTCAGAACCTCATATGATGGTGCCAGTGGTGGATTGTGGTTTTTGTACTAACTTAACTAAGTCCCTCTTGGATGAGCGAGTAGTCAAGAGAGGGACTTATGGCTTATATATGAAATTTGGTGTGTGAGCCAAAATTTTTTGGCTGGGGACTTTTTCGACCCTGAATAGCTCTGTCCCCTGCAAATAGATATCCTCTGGAGCTAAGAAAGGCCTTGTGCTCCTGCTCAACCTACACATATTGGGTCTTTTAAATTTATTACTTGGGTTTCAGAAAGTGCTGAAAATCAGACTTGAAAAATTGATTTTTGTGTAACAATCCAGCTTGCCTGGTGTGAGGTTTTGACACGTTGAACAGCTTTCTCAGGTATTGTAGTGATTTTTCCAGTCTCTACCCTCTCATTAATCTGCAATAAATTGGCCAGATAAGGAGTGAGACACATTCAGGTGTGTAGGTCAAGCAGGTGTACAGGACTTCTCTTTGGTCCAGAGGATATTTATTTGTAGGGGACGGAGATATGGGGGTTTGAAAAAGTCACCAGCCAAAGATTTTTGGCTCACATGTCAAAATTTGTGTACAAGCCATAAGTCCCTCTCTTGATTACTCGCTCATCCAAGAGGGACTTAGTTAAGTTAG